TGGTTCCAGAGCTGGACAAGAGGGTCTCACAGGGAATATGGAATTGGGGGCTCTTGATCTTTACCTCAAACTGTTTCAAGCACCTCCAATTGCCCTTTCTGCTCAGACCTCATCTATTTTTTCTTGCCCTGCTATCCATGCCCCCATGCTTGGAGAAGGGCTCCTGGTCCTATTCCGGGACTCATCTGGCTTCTTTTTCCCTTGTGGCCCCACAGTGGGGTAATCTCCTATCCTTCCTTCCCCCACCCCACCTTATGTTCCAGTGCAATTGCTGGAGGAAACTGAGGCCCAGAGAGTGGAATATTTTAACTAAGGTTGTGCAGCAGGCCCAGACTTAGGCTTCTGGACACTCAGTCAATCACCTCTGGGTATCACCTCTGGCCAAGAGAGTTGAGAGATTTCTCTGGTCTCTAGGCTGGAGGAGCCTGGGGAAGACAAGCATTTCCTCACACTGGGGGCCAAGGTTTCTATTCCACTCTAGGATTCATTCCACCATGAGTCCATGTGCCCTCTGGGAGCCTTCCTCCAAATCTCAAATGAGGTATAGCCTGGCTTATATATATATCTATATATATATATATATCTATATCTATATATCTACATCTATGTAGATATATGTATATCTATATAGATATATATATATATAAGATATATATATATATATATATCTACATATATATATATATATATATATCTATATATATATATATATATATATATCACCCAGAAATAGAGCAAAAAAAAAACTGAGGCCCTGCGTGCCTGCCAGGTCCCATGAGGGGAAAGAGCAGGGACCTGTAGTCTAGGGTCTTTTGATGCCACCGACCCATAGTATGTGCATCCTTTGCTACCCCTCCCCCCTTCCCTTGCTTTCCCTAGGACCCAGCATTGCTACTGGTTTCCTGTCAGTCTGTCTTGCCAACCCGGGGGACTAGGGTGGGGGGAGGAGTTCTCTAATCTCCTGGGGCCGCCTGCCTAGTTGGGGGTGGGGGTGGGGGGTGGAGTGAGGGAGGGGTGGAGCCAGCAGCCCTATGGGTGGTTGATCACTCTGTGGTCAGTCCCACGTGGTCCGTGGGGTTATAAACTGTGCCCGCTTAGCAGAAGACCCCATTTCAGCTCTGGGAGCACACAGGCTACTCCTCACCCACTCCATCATGGTAGTACCACCAGGTAAGTGTCGATGCGTACCCCTTTCTCTCCCTTCTCCCCATCTCACAAACATGGGGGGAAGATGGAGGTCAGGGATAAAAACTGGGCCTGGCATAGGTCTTGAGGAGAGAAGGAAAGGTCTGGGGAGTGAAAGTGGAGGAGGAGGAATAGTGTAGGGTAGTGCCTCAAGGTGTTAGAAGTTAGGGCAGAAAGAGTGAAAGACAGGCTGGCAAGCAGAGGAACTGAGGAAGGGCAGGCAGTCTTGAACTGTAAGGCTGAGGAAGGGAGGGGCCTGGGAACCAAGTTTTCTTGAAAGTTTGAATTCTGACTCTACCCTTTGGGGGGGGGAGGGTAGAGGAGAACAGAGGAGCTGTTCCTTGTGTACAGAGCTTTTGTTTCTTTACTGCCTGGGACGAGGGTGGAAAAATTCCTCTCAGCCCTAGAGATGGAGGAAGAAGTGGCAGAGACCCTTAGTGGCAGAGATAGCTAGTGAGTCCAGAGTGTAGGTGCCAGAAAGAAGCTTGGTGATGGGAATTAGGGACAGCAGAGAGGTCCATGGCCCTCCTGTGGCAGACCCCTCTATTGCTACCTCCACCCAAGATGGCCACATCCGTGGCACCCAGGATTCACCATTGGTGGGAGGGCCCATCAGGGAGCCACAGGGTATAAGAGACTAAGGGCTTCTTTGTAATTGAGAGTTGAACTAGAGCTAAGGATAAGCAGGGATGGGAAAACAGAGCCAGGCAGGGAGGTCTGGTTAGGGGAGGCATTGAAGAGGAGACTGTGTGTGGTTAAGGGAGGATAGGTAAAAGGGGAATGCTCTTGGGGAAAGGGGTAAGTTAGTAAGGATCATTGAAATGGGATGGAAATTTGGTGAGATTGGGGTAAATTGACATGGGAACCATGGTCTACACCTGTTTCTGCTAGAAAATGGCTGCGGGTGGTAGGGGTGGGGGTTGCTTTGGAGGACAGGAGATGTACCCAAAGAGGAAGTGGGGGGGAAGGTTGAGAGGAGGGGAGGATGAGCGCCATGCTGAGTCACTGCCCATGAGGCTCAGGGCGGGTCCCCTCACTGCCCTAGTTATACTTCAGAAGGAGTCCCAGAAGTCTGGAGCTGGGGGGGGGGGACTGGAAATAGGTAGGCCTTTTTGGAAGACAGACAAAGGTAAGGGTTGGGGTAGGGGTGGGGTGGGGGTGGGGTCTCTCTCAAAGCAGGTGGCAGAAGAAGGAAGTGGGCAGACCCACCAGCTCGACAGACACAGACAGACAGTGCAGTCACCCATAAAGTAGAAAGCACTACTAACAGCAATGTAGGGTGTAGTGTTTCCTACTTTATGGATGAGTGTACTGTGGGCTTCGGAGACACGCCATCCATTACTCTCACCGCCCCTCTTCTGGACTCTCAGCCTAGTGGCACCAAGGATCAGGTAAATACTTCCCCAATGACCAACACTGTCCCCAGACCATTCTGTGCTCCAGCCTAGTGCCCCTAATGGCAACATCTACTAAGGGCTGACTAAAAAACTCATCCCCAGCCTATGCTGTCAAATGGATAATTCTCTGCTGGGCAGAGGAGAGCCTGTAAATTTTAATAATCCTTTCCCCCTTTCCCTCTTTCCTTCTACTGCTGGCAGTACCTTGTGGTCCCTTAAACAGTGTTCTGGGGAGGGGGAATAAGGGCATAGTGGGAGGGTGGGACCTTCCTGAAATTTGGGGAAGATCCTCAGAGAAGCTTGGAAATGTTATTCTCATGGACCTGAGGCCCAACGGAGCCAGAAGCCTCAGGAGTCAAGGAGGAAGAAGAGATGATGGGGGTGGGGGAGGAATCAATGATTATGTTCATGACCTCCAACTAATAAAGAAATGATTTCCCCTTTCCTTGTCGTCTGAGAATTATGTTACTGGTGGCACAGTGACAGATGGTTAAGTGGCTGGGGGTTGGGGAAAGGGGGACAGCCATGAGAATCAGAAGCAACGCACATGGTGGGCATTTCAGGGTCCTTTAGTGTGTTGGGGTTGGGACTTGGAGGAAGGGCAGAGATTCGGGCTGCTGACACTACCACCATAGCGGCCCAGCAGTACCTCACTTCCTCTCTACTGCCTCTAAAGAGAGTACTGATCATTGGGATAGGATGGGGAAGGGGCAAGCAGACCCCGGGGCTGAGCTAGCCCCTTGCAAGAAGAACAGGATCTATACTGGTTGGGTACAAGTGAAAAGCTTAGAACGGCAGGAGAGCAGGAAAGGGGCAAGACCTAGGACCCAGAAGGGCTATGATTCCTGGCACCCTTGACCCACTCCAACCCCTACCCAATACCTGCTCACCTAGGGCCTGGGACTACATTAGGAAGTGAAAAGTATCCATACCCACTAGGGGGTGCTATTTCCCCCTCCCTCTCCTTGCCCCCACCTCCACCCCCACCCCAGCTGTCACTCCAAAGCCCCAGAGGAAATAATAAAACACATGAGGCTCATATACAGAAATGAAACTTTGGGGTTAAGAGAGACCTTAGAGGATATTTAGTCCAACCTCATTTTCCTCATTTTACAAATAAGGAAAGTAAGGTCTAGAGGGGGAAAGTGTCTGTCCCCCAGGGAACCCATGGGTCTCTCCACTCCTGTTCTGCACCATACCATATTTCTTCATATACACAGACATATACGTATACATGGACATATAAATATATATATATATATATAATATATATATGTATATACTTTGACACACATGGATACATACACATACGTTGACATGCTTATACAGTGTCCCATTAAAACATATGCTGACATACTCATATTACACACAAACACAGTCCCCTCCCTCTTTCCCTAGTGACACAAACATTAGTTTGTCAGAATCACCCATTCTGAGAAAACTCTTATCAGCGGGCTGTTGTCTGTTCCCCAGAATGCCACATGAGGGCGCATGGAAAGGGAGGAAAGGGTGGATACCTATGGAGTAGAGCTGTCCCCATTATAATGTATACTATTCTAGTTCCCAAGGAGCCCCTATGCTGATGTGAACCCCACAATCCAGTCCACGCATGTGCCCACTCTCCCGCCAGACCACTACAAATGATGTCCTCTTCATTCACGTAGGGGTAGAAATGTATTCCCAGATCCCTGACCCACAGGGACTTCTAACTAGGTGGGAAGGATGGAGAGCAGATAGGAGGGGAGACTTCCTGGAAGTTGGAGGTGAAAGAGGCAAGGACTGAAGAGGATGTGGGCTTTCTCCGAGAAACGTGTAGGTTCCAGAGAGACGGAGCTGTGAAGGATTCCGGGATTTCTGTTTCTCACTCTCTGTGTCTCTCTATTTCTATTCCCATTTCTCTGTTAGTCTTTCAGCCTCTTTGTCTTTCTGCCTTTCCATTTTTTTATTCTCTCTCTCTGTCTCTGTCTTTCTCTGTCTCTGTCTCTGTCTCTGTCTCTTCTCTCCTTCCCTCTTTCCTTCCTCCCTCATTCTCTCTTGCCTTCTTTATCTCTCTCTTTCTACTCCTCTCACTGCTGTCTCTCAGATCTCTCTGCTACCAGAGAGGAGGAAAGGGATAGGTAAGTGCTTGCATTCCAATTTCTTTCTCATCCCGTCCCATCCCTTCCCTTTCCCTCAGCGTGCTCTGGAAGCAGCAGTGTGAATGTATGTTGTATATGTCCTAGGCAGCAGATCCCAGGAGGACCGGACTGCCCAGTCCCCCAGCCCCCGACCCTGCCTATCTATCCTGCCTACCATTGCAGCGCTATCACCGTGGAAACCAGCAGCTGGCTTTCCATTGGCTGGCTGGTGAGGAGGGGAGGAGGGAGGAGGGGAAGCATTCTTTATCCCCCTATCTCTATGCATACCCCAGTGCTTGGACCCTCTTCCATACTAAGGACCTTGAGGTACAGGAAGCTGTGGGGGAACTCAGGCTTTCTTAGAGCTGAACCAACGACTTCTAAGGGAGAGACTATGAGGCAGGCGGCACATCGTCCCAGGCCTCCTTAGGACCCAGAAGAGCCACAGAACAGAGCAGAGACAGACAGGGAGAGAGAAGGGGGCCGGGCTGGCAACCAGCAACACCCCCGCCCCCAGCCCAAAACAGAGCCTAGTCTGTGCTGTGGAGAAGGGATTGAAGCCTATTCAGATGGATGGCCAGCTAGACCCAAAGACATCGAACTACATGCATGGAAGGGGACTCGAGCACATAGGGACACTCATACAGAGACATTGACACACATGCAAATACAATTAATGAGAGCGACACCCACATGCTAATCCACACCAGCAAGACACAGATACACACACACACACACACACACATGCAAAGACACCCCCTCCCACATACACACCCCCAACACATACTGCCACTGATCCTCACACGGGAGATCCATGCTTTCATCCACTTAAACTGTCTCTGGCCTCCTCACATTGCCCCTACAGGGACACCCTCTCTTGCTCACACACAGCGACTGGCGCACACTCACACGCAAACCCCAGCTTCAATTCCAGCAGCTCAGCTTGCCTTTGTAGGCAGGAAAGCTCTCTCGCTGCCGACCTTGGACAGAGTGTGGTGGAGCCACGAGACTGACCAGAGGAGAAGTGGTCTTGGTCCAATATGACCCTATGCTGTGCCCTCATTTGGGGGGGTGATGCCCCTAGGCTTTGGCACTGGGGTCCTGCAGTGCCACAGAGGATCTGAGCTCCTCCCCCTCCCCATCCAGGGAGAAAAGGGAGCAAGGAGCAATGGAACCACAGGCATTGCCCACATGGCCTGGCTGGGCCCCAAACCCAGGGGGTGTGCCAGGGAGCACAGCTTCAATGTGGGGTGATGCCCTGGTGGCTTTGGAGGCTGAAGAGCTGGACCCTGGGGAGAACCTAGAGCCAGGGGAGGCTGGGAGCCCTGGACAGATGGAGGACACTCCATCTGGAGGGGAAGAGGCTGTGTCGCCCAAAGCAAACAGCCTCCTGAGTGCCACCCAGCTCCCAGAGAGCCCCGGATCCATCAGAAGGAGGCTACGGTGTTGGGAACCTGAGGATTCCCCCCAGGTAAGAAGGTTGTTTGGAGGGTCTGGGTTTAGAGGGGCATGTAGGGAGTAGAGAGGGTGAGGGTTTGGGGCCCCTAACTGATGCCATTTCAGTCTCAGCACATGGCATTAGCCAGAGCTGCAGCCCCACTGCGTCTCCTTCTCCCTCTCTGTCTGGGAGCCTGGTTCTGCATCTGTCATTCCTTCTCTGCCGTAGGCCCTATCTCTCAGGGTCTCTGTCAGTCTAGCTCTGCGCCTGACTAGGTGACGCTATCTGCCCATCTCTGCCTGTCTCCTTTTCTTGATGTTGTTCTGTCTCTCTGGGTCTGACTCTTTCCCTGACTGGCACTGTCTGTTTGCCTCTCCCTCATTCTATCTTTATTTACAACCCTCACATTCTCAAGGCTCACTGCCTCCTTCTCTTTAGGGGTGATTAGCTCTTGGAGGGAGGGAGAAGAAAGTGAGAAGGAAGCTTAGAGGGAGTAGGTCTTAGGAGGGGGGCGGGAATGGAAAACAGGGAGTACAGGATGGGGCAGACCTCACAGGAGGCCGAGAAGTCCATGGAGTCTGGAACTAGGGGCATCACTTCTGGTGAACAGCCAGAAGGTTGGAGGAAAGGGCTAGAGTTAGCAGAAAAACCTAGCAGTGTGAAGAGAGGGAGAATTGAGAGAACCATGAAAAAGACAGGGGCCAGAGTCCCCACATCCATCCCAGTCTCCCAGTTTTTACCTTGAAGCTAGGCTTTCCCAGGAGAATGGGACTGGGCATGGCATAATGGCAGCAGGAAGGGCCCAGGGTTCAAGGGTGCCAGTGTTGAGCCAGGAGGGTAGAGCATACTAAGGCAAACCTCTTTCTTTTCCCATTTGTTCCCCTTTTTAAACTTTCTTGAGAGGTCAAGGTTCTTGGGGAAAAGGACCTCCTCCCCACCTCCTGTCTTCTGGCTCTCTTTAGACTCTGTGACAGGAGTTCTTAACCATTTTTATTTTAACCATGGGCCTCTTTGGCAATCTGGTAAAGCCTATGGGCCCCTTCTCGGAATCATGTTTTGAAATAATCGAAGGAGATGCTGAATTTCAGTTGGAAATTAATGAAAATAAGATGTACTTTTCCCTCATCCTAGTTCACAGATCCCCCCCCCCCCCGAGATCTATCCATAGACCCCAGGTTAAGAACTCTTGCTGAACAAGTAAAAAGAGGTGGTGGTGGGATTTGGAATGGGGAGCAACCTGGCTACTGGGGAGGGGCGCTGTCTCTGAGGCCTGCATACCTTCTCCTTTCCCTATGTCAGACCTGGTTGGATTCAGGTTGTGGGGTGAGGCCTAACATGGAGCTGCTGAGGGCTCTGGGTGAAATGCAGTGTCGATGTGCCATCCTGAAGGAGGAGAACCAACAGCTGGTGAGAGGTTGGAGGAACCTGAGCGCGGGGCAGTGTTGGAGAGGAAGGAAAAGGCTTTAAAGGTGGGAGTGGGTGGGGGGTTGGTGGTGGAAAATCAGGAATGGGCATTAGGTGTTCTGACTTTTTAGTCCCCATCACTCACCAACTCCCTTTGGAGAGAGAGGTGTCTTCCCTTTCAAATACCAAGGCCCAGAGAGGGTGAGCTGTTGACTCCAAGTCCCACAGAGCCTTGGGGCTGGAGGTAGGAAACCAGGGGACTAGTTTAGGGGTTAATTGGCAGGGCTGGATGCTAGGAGACCTCTCCATTCTACTCAATCTTGGGTCTACTCCCAGCGAAAGAGCAGCTTCCCTGAGACAGAGGAGAAGGTGAGGAGGTTGAAGAGGAAGAATGCAGAACTGGCAGTCATTGCCAAACGGCTAGAAGAGAGGGCCCACAAGCTTCAGGAGGCCAACCTGCTCATGGTGAGGGCTAGAGGCTGGGGGGATGAGACAGAGGAGGGCTGGGGAGCTGGAGGACTGTGGGATGGGGATGAGACAGTGGAGGGCTGGGGAGCTGGGGGACTGTGGGATGGGGATGAGACAGTGGAGGGCTGGGGAGCTGGGGGACTGTGGGATGGGGATGAGACAGTGGAGGGCTGGGGAGCTGGTGATAAGAGTGGTCATGATTGGAAGACTGACAGGAAAACACAGGAATTGGGAGACTGGGGGAAACTAGACAGACACAGAAAATGAGAAGTAGCAAAATGGAACAATGATAAAATCTGGGAGGATGTAGTTTCAGAGGGCTAGGGGCTATGAGGGATGGCCTAAGGGGTCAAAGATAATCTCTTCCCCTGTACAAGGCTTGGATTGAATTTGATGTTGAGGCCTGTTGAGTACTCCTGGGTATGTGTGTGTATTTGTGTGAGGGGGCACCCATCAGTGTGGCAGCCCTATTTTAGCTGTTCTAGCTTCCCAGCTGTTCCGAGGCTTAGTTATTGCCTCATTAACTCTTTCAATCCTGCTTAGCATGTGGGAAGCCCCTCCTCCTTAACCTGGAACCTCGGTGCTATCCTTCGGGGGGGGGGTGTTTGCAGTGTCTTTTGCCCACACATCACAGTCCTAGAACAATTCATTCTGGGCGAGCCAGTGGACGCAGGCCTCTGCCTAAACCAAAACTTCTGCATTCTCATATTGCCTCAACCCTTTCCCCTGTTTGGGGGTGGGGAGTGGAAAGCACCAGGGTGAGGAAGAGAAGGAGCCAGGTTCTAACAAGAAAACTGTTGGCCCCTGGACAGGTGAATGCTCCCATGCCCTGTCCAGGTGCCAGCCTGGAGCTGTCCAGGAAGGCTCTGGACAGCCAACGAGCCCGTGACCTGAGTGAGACAGCTAGTGCCCTCCTGGCCAAGGACAAGCAGATAGCTCACCTTCAGAAGCAGTGTCAGGAGCTTCAAGCACGACTCAGCTCTAAGGGCAAGGTATGGTGGGCATGGGTGGGGTGGGCACAGAGCAGACCCTACTCCCTGGCTGGTCCTTCATCCCTTTTACTCTCTCTCTCTCTCTCTCTCTCTCTCTCTCTTCTCTCTCTCTCTCTCTCTCTCTCTCTTTTTCATTTCTTTTACTCTCCTTCCCCACCAAGAGGTTTCCTCTCATTCCCTTAACTCTACTCAGGGCCTACCTTATAATTAAGAAGCTGATGAGATGCTAATGAGATGCAAAGATTGGCAGAAGGTGGAGAATGCTGGGGAGTGGGTTCTCCCAGCAACAGCCCAGGTGGGAGGGGAGAAAAGGAGGGCCCTGTGCCATGGGGGTTAAGTGAGCCTCACTCCTGGGGGGTTGGTAAGCACCATATTTGCTGGATATATGAACATAAACATATAGATGTGTATGCTTTGTAGGCCTGTATATGAACGTTCCAATGTATCTATAAACAAATATGTACATATATGTGACTGGGACCAAATTATATATGTGTGTGTGTGTATGTATGATATGTGGGAAGCTACGTGTAGATGCGAACTTATGAACATGCCTATACCTCATTGGGCAGAGTCCTGGACCCCCTGCCAAGTTTTCCTGTCTTATATGGCTTGTGAAAAGGGGAGTGGGTTTCACAGCTGTGAGATGCCTTCCTGAGACTGAGGGAGGAGTGTTAGATGAATAGAGATGCCTGAAGAAGGAGGGCAGAGCCTCCGGGTATGACTGTGACAGGTTGAGGAATCCTGCACTGTGACGTCTGGAAACTGGAGTAGAGCTCAGGGGAAATGAGGGTTTGGAGGGTAGGCAGGGCCTGAGAACTGGTCTGCTCACTCTCCTGATGGTGTCCGGATTCTGTGTGGCAGGAAGGCCCCCGATGGCTGAATGTGTGGGACTTTGACCGGCTTCTGCGGGAGTCCCAGAAGGAGGTTCTGAGGCTGCAGCGGCAGATCGCCCTGAGGAATCTGCGGGAGGTCTCCCTGACAGGGTCCCCCAGCCCCCTGGACACTACTGCACTGCCTCCTGCCCCTGGGGCCCCTGGGGAGGTGAGAACCCTGAGCAGGCGGCAGATCCTGAGGGGGTGTCAGGAAGGCTCCCAATCTCCTTAGGCAGGGAGACCAGATGGAGGAAGGGGAGAACCCAGGATCCTGCCAGCCTCCATCTCCTCCCTGTGCCCCCAGATTCTCACATTGGAGGTATGAAGAGATGTGATCAGCTGAGGGGCCAGAGGAAGATTACAAAGCAGGACAGAGTAGCATGCCCCAGCTCAGCAATGCCCTCCTCCCTCCAGCCTACGTCTGATTTCTTCAAAGGTCTCTGGTTTTCATCCTCTGACATTTTCCCTGCCTCTGTGGTCCAGTCTTGTAATTTCCCGCAGCTTCCTGGTCCAGCTAGATCCTCTTTTTCTATCATCCCCTTCCTAGTTACCCTCAGATAATGCTCTGGTGAATCCCCCTGCTGCTGTCCCCAAGCCAGGAGGGGAGAAGTCCCAGGCATCCTCCAACCTAGATTCTCTGTCCAGCCATGGCTAGAGGGTGATCCACAACCTTCCAGCAGCTGAGCTGAATTGTACCAGCCAGGCCTCTGTCCTCCTTCCTCCTCCCTCTCCCCCCTCAGCTGAGTGGTATAGCCCAGTAAATCCCTCTGGTTGCCGTGGCAGCCGCTCTCTGGGCTGAGCCCGCTGCCTGGGACGCTTCTTCCAGCACCAGTGGCCTGGCTCCCCACACTTGCCCAGGCATCTTTGGCACTAGTGCTCTGAGGGGCATTCGCCCCATGCCCTATCCTGTCCTCAGTCCCAGCTCCAGGTAGGAGCCGATCTCCTAGGAACAATGATTCCAAATCTTCCGCAGAGTCAGGAATTTGTGGGGCAAGTCCAGCTGTGTGGGGCAGAAGGCTGGGCAGGAGCTGAGGGGGAGGGATGGGGATAGGGGATGAGCCGGAGAGGTTAGGGACATCTTGAGGGGGCTAGGGAAGGGCCTGAGCCCTATATCAGATTCTGACCCTTCCTAGAAACTTGAGGGTTTCCCCTGCCATCACACCCCACAGGAGCTGAGGGGAAAGAAAAGGACAGTGAGGACCAAAAGCTTTGGGGACCTGGTGGGAGCTGAGGGGAGGAGAAGAGGCAGGCTCCCAAAAGAAAGAGTACAGTCCTGTTTACCCTCACCCCCTTCTTACTGAGTTAGACTTGGTACATCATTAACCCCATGGTGACCAAGCTGGGTGAAGATGCTTAAGGCTCAGATTAGGGTATCTGTGGCTTTTCCCCAGCTGTTCATTCCCTGGGTGTTTGCTTAGGGCTCGACCTGTTCCTTAGGGAAGTAAAGAAGTGGTCCTGAGTGAGGGGAGATCTGACTCAGGAAGGAAGGTGGAATGAGGGGCAGAAAGAAGTGGTACTGGTGGTGGGGGGAAGCAAGGCTTGGAAAGTGGGACTGTCTATTATGCCTTGGATAGAGTGTGGGACCTGGAGTCAGAAAGACCTGAACTCAAATCCTCATTCAGACACTTACTAGCTGTGTGACCCCGGACAAGTCACTTAACTTCTGCCTGCCTCAGTTTACTCATCTGTAAAATGGATATAATAGCACCTACCTCTCAGGGTTGCTGTGAGGATCCGATGAATTAACCTTAAAGTTTGCAAATGCTAGTTGTTATTATTAATTGATCCTTCTCTATGTTGCATCTGGGTGATCTACCTCCCTCAGCAATAAAAGGGACCCAAAGCCTTGAAATGGTAGATGAATCATTCTCCAAATTCTCTTCTGTGTGCTGAAGGGCACTGAGGAAAGGACAGAATCCTATTTAATACAGGTTAGGGGGTGGGGACAAGGAGAAATAGCTAAAATGGGAAACGGTGGCCTGGATAGCAAGAATGGTCTCTTAGGACCCAAAGTACTTGTTAGGATCTCAAAGCACTCATGCTTCCCATTTGCCCTGGGAGACAGAGTAGGGCATCCCATCTGGGAGAGATGGGGAATATGAGGTCTAGGGAAGGAACGTGTCTCATTGGAGGTCACACAGCCAGTAGTGGATGAAACCTAGGAGAGAATGCAGGCTTTCTTCCCTTTCTCCAATCCCAAATGGTGACCTCATGTTGCCTGTGAGGTCTGGTCAGAACCTTCCAGGTTCAGGCTGGACATGGATAGGGCAGACTGGTTAAAGGACCAGCTTGCTCTGCAGGAAGGGTCAAATTCTTCTGGCCATTTCCAGGCAGTGCCCTTGTCTAGACCCCAGGATGACGTGGATATCCTACTGGAGGGGGCCTCATTAGCAGAGCCAGAAAGCCAACAGAGGGTCAAGCAACTGGTGAGCTTTGTGGGACCCTTGTGAACTTTGGGGTGACTCATGTGTCAGGTCTAATTATACTGATATTTTTGAGGTGTTGGGAACAGAGTTCTGCCTTTGTATTTCCTTGGTTCTCCCTCAATTGGGGTTGAGAGTTTAGAGAGGCACTTGTAATAGTGGATAGAAAGCCCCAGAATTCTGATCCTAGGTGTGATGTCCTGCTTCTGACATATTGACTGTATGATCTTTGAAAATCACTTAACATCTCAGGGTCTTATCTATTTTATTTATTTATTTATTTAGAGAGCTTATCTATTTATCTAAGTGATGACATGGATATATGGGGTCCATCATGGCTTCTTGTCCTGATCTCTCATACTTTTGCTTGGCTATGGCAACATGGATGTCCACAGGCATCTGAAGCAGGGTCCGAAGATTCATTTCATCGGGATTTCAGCAAGAGGGACTCAGCTCTGATCCATTGGAAGCTTGTGTGGCCAAGCTTCTCTGAGCTCCACTTTGTCCCTGCCTTTGCCATCTCCTTTCTCTACCCTAATCTAAAGAAATGGCCTCAGGCAGAAATGGGACCAGCATTGAAAGATATTATCCAGTCCCAGGCTTAGGTCATTGGCTATGCCTGGTGGCAGAGATGGGCAAAGAAAGTCATTGACCCAGTTAATCTAAGGCATAAGGAAAACATCAAGAAGAGTGCCACATACTTTTGACAAGTTCATTTATTTATTATTTTGTTAGGAAGCAACATGTGGTTTATTTGTTCTATGTTATGAGTTATCAATGTTATGAGGGTCAGGAAGGAAGCTTCCACACTAGGAGTTCTTTACCAGGTCTAGACCCTATTTCTCCCCAGTCCTGTCTATCCCCCCTCCCCCCAAAAAGGAAACAGCTGAATTCAATATTAAGTTGGTACCAGAGGACCTAGGTTCAAATTCTGTTATAGATTTGAGCGGGGCTGTGCTGCTTACTCACCTGTGTGACCTTGGGGAAGTTATTCAACCCAGCTAGGACTCAGTTTCCATATCTATAAAAGAGATGGGTAGACTCAAAGACTTTTAAAGTTCTTTCTAACTTCAAATATCCTATGATGCTGTTGGAGAAGTGCAGTAAAGCATATTGGAATAGGTGATGGCCTTAGAGTCAGGAGATTTGAGTTCGAATGCTGCCTTAGACTTGTGTGAGCATGGGCAAATCACACAGCTTCTCAATACCTCAGTTTCCTCACCTGCAAAATGAGGATAACGATTCCAAAACGATCATTCTAAAACTCAGTTCTGACCATATTACTCTCCTTCTCAAGGAATTCCACTGGTTCCTTTTTGCCTTTAGGGTAATAAAGTAAAATCACTCCTGAGTTTGACATTAGACTCCATCACACTCTGGCCCTTATCTTTCCAGACTGATTTCACATTAAGGTCATGTTAATTCTATTACCTTCCACACAGTGTTGTTGCAAGGGAAGTGTTTGGCAAAGCTTAAATTGCTATAGAAGTTCATGTATTATTACTATGACCAGAATCCTAAATGAGCTATCTACAATTGTAGAATTGGTAAGTACAACCAATACAGTTATCCCTTCCACATTATGGGGATTAGGGGTGCAGTGCCCCCCAGGATCTGGAAAATATGCATAAAATTTTTGGTCCTCCCTTCATACTGAATTCTGAATTATTATGGTATTAAAAGAAAAAATGTTGATATTATACAATACTATACATATATTTTATATGTTTCTGAATTTCTAAACTTTTTTTCTGTGTCATCTGCTGGCCTTTACATGTCATCTGTGGCTTCTGCAAAACTCCCCCCAAAATTCCCATTTAATTTCTTTTGCTGACCCACAATTTATCAAAACAACTATGTGGAAAGTTGCAATGTGGAAGGGATAACTGTAGTAGCTGGCTTGGCTGACGTAGGCCTAGATTCTACAAGGCAAGATATTGGTTGAGAGAAAAGGGACCATGACAGAGATTGCTCTTATGAACATATAAGTTTAATTTATACCAAGAGTTCTTAACCTTTTCTGTGTCATGGACCCTGTGGCCATCTGGTAAAGCCTATGGACCCCTTCTCAGAACCATGTTTTGTTGTCTGCATTCATAATTGAAGGAAATGACAAATGTCAGTTACAGGTTAGTGAAAATAAAGACATAATGGACCTCCTGGAATCTGCCCATGGCCCCTAGATTAAGAACCTGGTTTTACCTATGTTCCAAGAGTCTAATGACCTTAGGATCTTTCAATGTTGGCAAGTCTTCATAGCTTACACACAACTCACACAGGTTTTCTTTGAAAACAGGAGTGTGTTTATTTATCAAGACTGGGCTTGTGATTTCCCTGCCTATAAAGAACTTCAGGTGAGGAAACTCCCTCGACTAAAGCAGATCAGCAAGTAGTCTCCAACATAGAGGCTGAAAGAGCTGCCCGGGGTGGGTCCCGGGAGGTTAAGTGATTTGTCATGGTCACACAGCCAGTAGGTGTCAGAGGTGGTACTTGAACAAAGGATCAGAGCTTTGAGGCTTCTGTAAATTTATTAGACAGAGGGAATAAAAATATACATTGATCTTATTGGGGAAATTTTAGGCAAGCATGCAAACAGTTGTTCTCCAAAATGAGGCTTAGATCTTCTTCCTTTTAATAGCTTCTAGTATTAAATGAAGCAGAACTCAGATTGAAAGAAGACATAGACATGGGCAGATGAACAGGGCTCAGCAGAGGGAGAGAACACACACACAAACACACAAAATATTCAGACAGATGTGGGTGCAATAGCTGGCTGTTAAAGTACCTTGGGGAAGATAAAGGATAGGGACTGGATCTGTTATTTTATTGGGATAGGGAACTTGCTGGAAGAAATTCATTCCACCGATATAGGGACAGTTGCCTAGGGCACTGAGAGATTAAGTGATGGAAAGAGGGTCATGCAGCCAGTTATGTGTCAATAGCAGCTGGACCGGAACCCATGTCTTCCTGGCTTCGAGTTTGCCTCTTTAAGCCCTATACCATAATGTCTTTCAGCAGAACAAAGGACAAAGCAAGAAAGATATACATCCAAGGGCCCCTCTAGCTCATTCTTGCTGAGGTGTTTTGGAGATCCTGATTAGGGGGAAGAAAGCAGCAAGAGAGTTTCTAAGCCTTAGAAAAAGTAAGAAAACACTGAGAAAATGAAAGGCTGTGTTGGGGGGTAGGAGGAAGACAATAAAACTGGGGAAATATTTTCTGAGCTCCTCTCTGAGGGGAGAGGGAGGAGGAGGAGAGAGAGAGACAAAAAGAGGGATACAGAGGTGGGGAGGGAGGAGGACAGAAAGAGAGAGAGAGAGACAGAGATAGGGAACAAAAATCACACATGAACTTGTCCACCCCCAAAACAAGGAATAGCAACAAAGATAGAGTAGAATAGAGTAGAAAATTAAATGTAAAAATTAAATCATCCTTCCCAAAACAAGAAACATCAGCAAGAGAGAGGAAGCTGATCCTATTCAACATATGTGTACATTTCGGACTACAGAAAACAGATATCATTGTCATTTTACTGTAGCAGAGATGTATATAGGAGCTCTTGGCAGAGACCATCTCTTTCAGGTACAATCTATCTGGCCTGGACAATGTGTTACTTCCCTATGTACTCATTAGCTGTACAAAAGATCATTATAGAGCACGTGGGTATCTTCAAGAAGAATTTACATTTAGTTTGGAAAAGGATGTGGGACAGGGCTGAATAGCTCTGCTGTGGATTCTAATTTGCCAGATTCATGGTCTGGGAGTAGACTGATCTCAAAGAGATTGTTTTCTTTCCCCTCCTTGGTCCTAGTTTCCTTTAAAATTGCTTTAATTCTAGGAAAAGCTTGGTTCTAAAGTTATCACTTTGTGCATTGTGTCTTCATAGGAGCTAAAGGGTAAAATAGTCCGGCCTAGAGTTAATTAGGTAGAGGCTGCTCATTTCATGGTAGGCGGAACAGTAGGATTTTCAGCAAAGTCCAACTCAGTAAAATGAGAGAATTTGAATTACATGGCCTTTGATGTCCCTTTTAAGCCTTGATTTGTGGTCCTACTATTCATCTGGGACAGGCCAATTGTCATATGTGCCACTTGGAACCATTATCATGGTTTTGATATGGCTCCCTTTTGGAGAAAGGCAGCATGGGAATATTGGATTGAGGGTGAGCTTTAAAACCAGGAAGAGCTGGGTTCAGGTCTTGCCTCTGACTCATGCTGACTCTGTGATTCTGGGCATACTACTTAATATCTTAGTGACTCAGGCAAATCTCTGTAAGAGGCAGAGCAGGCGTTGGTCTGAATTAGTAGATGGTATTAGTAGAGGGTATTCTTAATGGAAAAAAAAATCACAGGTCTAAATAACAACAAAATGTTTTTCCTGAGAATACTAGTAAGTAGTCTGCTAACAAGACAGAAGAAACCTGAGCTCCTGGGTCCCATCTCATGTGGGGTGCTTCTTTATACTTTCCCAACTCAGAGTAGAAGGAGATAGGACCAACCCTAGGTTAACGGTGGATGCTATATCCTCATGGGGACACTAACCTGGGCTTTGTCCCCATTATCCAGAGAGATGGGCCAATGCAGAGAGTGGACAGGGGTGGATCAGGACCTCAATGTTTCAGGATATTCAGCCAAAGCAGAGGTGGCTAGGGCTAGTGGTGAGCAGAGAGTAAAGTGGGTGTTGTCTGAGACCCTCAGGGTGGGAGGTTTCCAGGTGTTGCTAGCGGTAGAGCCCATCCTTCCAGATGGAAGCTCATTTCTGATTTCCACAGGAATTAGAACTTGGCAAGAAGAGGAAGAAATGGGAGACGCTTGAGCATGAAGTGAGGAAGAAACAGACGATGTGAGGAGTTGGGTGAGCAGGACAACATGGTGGGGCAGTGTATCCTAGCCAGCACATAGGGATGAACGTTTCCTAGTGGCATCCAAAGAGTTCATGTTATCCATTCCCTTGCTTCTGGGTTAGGACTGTCCCTAAACCATCTTAGGCCTTTAGATTTGGAATCAGAAATCTGGGTTTGAGTCTTGCTTCTCTGGACTTCAGTTCCCTTCTTTCTAGGGGGGTTGGTATGGGGTGCCAGGGTAGATGGAGTGGGGTGGAGAGGAACTGACTGGGAACAGGGAGAGACAATGCAAAGGGGACTCCACTCAAGAGAGGGTAGGATCCAAAGAGCTCTTTAATGAGAGCAGACAGACTTGGGTGCAAACGTGTTTGGGGTGGGGTGAGGGTGGGGCTAGAAGACTCAGCAGGTGGGCATGGCTCTCTGCCCTGTGGATCCCAGAATGCCTTCACTCCTACTAGGAACTCCAGCTGCGGAAGGCACAGAGTGAGAATGCCCGACTGGTGGAGGAGAACTCTAGGCTCAGTGGCAGAGCCTCAGGGAAGGAGGAGGTACCAGCCCTACATAGGGGGAGCTGAGGAGGCCTCGGCATCTTTCCTCTCCCTCTCCATGCCTCCCCCCAGACTAGGCTGTTGGGTCTTGGGTGAAGAATAAAGTTGGGGTGCTCGGAGAGTTGGGTGGCTATAGAAGCTATCGCCTCTCTTCTGATCAGCCTAGGAGATAGAGACCCCCAAATAAACAAAAGCTCCCAATTTCTGCTATCTCTGGATTCCTAGCTCCAGTCCAAGTTTTATAGAACAAATCCTTTTATTAAGGGGATTTGTTCTGTGAAGTTTGGATTCAGTCAAAGGGCTGCACTTGAGGACCTAGAGGGCCACATGTGGCCTTGAGACCACAGATTCTCCACCCCTGGCTTAAGCTTTTTCTGTTTCCCCCTCCCTCCAGGTGGAATCTGAGAATGCAGAGCTGAGGGGCCAGCTCCAGGAGGTGACAGAAGAGAGGGACTCAGCCCTTCGGAAGAGCCAGGGACTCCAGAGCAAACTGGAGAGCCTAGAGCAGGTGCTGAAGGTAAGTTGGAGAACATGATAGGGGAACAAGAGAAAAGGGGAAGCAGAAGTATGGGAGAAGAGGATAGTAGGAAGGAGAGAGCTGAGGAATAGGAGGAGTATTGGTGTACAGGGAATTTGAGAAGATACTGGTAGACTTTCTGTAGGAGGAAGAAAGCATGGAGTAGAGCTGAGGGGGACTAAGGACTGGCAAAGATGGCAGAGTAGGTAGAAGCAATACCATAGTTTCATCTGAACTGGTCAAAGAAGGATAGAACACACACACACACACACACACACACACACACACACACACACATAGACAAAAGATTTGGTGTACAATAGGGTCAACTCAGAGAAACAGGGAGACAGGAGGGGGCAAAATAAGAGGGAGACTTATTTAAGGAAAGATTACTCATAATAAAATTTTAGAAAGTTTTAAAAGTAAAAAAGGAGACAGTAAGAAGCTGTGAATGGATGAGGGGAAGAGAAGAGGTGGGGCACAAACATGAAAGCAGATTATATAAAGAATAGAGCTCATTCTTCTCTTGCCACCCTCTTCTTTGTCAAGGTGGGGGTGGTGGTAAGAGAGGAGAGTATCAGAGAACAGGATGGAGGTAAATAGCACAATGAATGAGTAGAACTGTGAATGTGAATGGGATGAACTAACCCATAAAATGGAAGAAGATGGCAGACTGGATTAGAAAGCAGAATCCCATGAGATGCTGTTAAGAAATACAATTGAAACAGATTCACACAGATTTAAAATAAGGTGCTGGAGCAAAAATCTATTTTGCTTCAGCTAAACTAAAAAAAAAAACAGAGCATAAGACTAGGGGCCAATGGGGATAAGCCAGTCATGGGGGGGGGTGTGCGGTCTGTGTGTTGCAGCATATGCGAGAGGTGGCCCAGAGGAGGCAGCAGCTGGAATTGGAGCATGAGCAGGCCCGGATAGGTTTGCAGGAAAAGCAGGAAGAGGTCCTGAGGCTGCAGCAGGTAAGGAGAGGGACCTCTGTGACGGAAACTGAGGCTACGCTAAATAGCACCACCCAAGAAGGAGGGAATGAAGTAGAATCTAGGTGCCTGGATAAGGAAGGAGAGAGCTAGAATGGGGTGGGAGGGAAGGAAACAGTGACAGATTGAGCCATGGCTTTGATGTATTTCCCCCATCAAGGAAAGGGGAAAGAGTAATTATCTCCCTCTTCACCAACCCTAGGTCCCCAAGAAGAATCTTACCCTTGGGGTTGGGGTTAATATAGGCAAAGTTGGGGTCCTAGACCTATCATGGTTATTGGATTCCAGGCCCTCCCATCTCCTTTTCGTATGGGTGATACTAATTTCCTTTAGATGATTCCTCTTCTTCCTCCCCTCCCCCTTTCTGACTCCTCTCTTTTCCACTGTTCCCTCTCTCCCTTACCCTGTGTCTCCTTTCCCCTTGGTTCCCCCCTCCATTCTCCCCCTCTCTTCCTTTTCCCTTGCTCCCTGTTCCCTGGTACCTCTATAACCTCTGACTCCTGCCCACAGGCCCAGGCTCAGGCCAAGAGAGAACATGAAGGGGCTGTGCAGCTCTTGGAGGTAATGGGAGTCTCAGAGACTGTTGGTGGGAGTGTAGGGTATGGGCAGGGAGGGTTGTGGGAACTCCCTGGTAGGATACTGACCTCAGGCAGAGCCTGAACTCTAGGAAAGAATGTTTCCATCCCTTGGGGCCTGAGGCAGGGGACTAGAAACAGAACCACTTTGTCTGATATATTTGGGGGTGGGGGAAGGGCTCCCGAGGTCCATGAATCAGTCACCTTGAGTGGGAGGCTGGAGGAGCCATAGGCATCCCAGGGCTGGAGATGGATGTTGGCTCCCACCTGCAGGAGGAGAGAGCCCCATCTGCAGCTTCACCTGGACTGCTTCCTTCTGATTGGTTCAAAGCTGCCTTGGGGGAGGGCTCATAGCTAGAAGCTGCCTCCCCTCAGGGCTAGGTTTCTTTCACCCCTCCTCACAGGTGCTACCCTCATCTCTGGGCATCTCCTTTCCTTTCAGGCTCTGCTCTCTCAGTCCTGGGAGCTTCCCTGCCTGGAATTGCAGTCTGGCTGGTTCCTTTCCCTTCTCCCCTTCCCTTCCCTTCCTTCTCTCCCTCTTCCTTTCTTCTCTTACTGCCCCATGGGGCTTTAAGAAGCAAACATGTGGGCCAGAGGGGTTCTAACCTCTCCTCTCCTCTTTCTTTTACTGCCGCAGTCTACCTTGGATTCCATGCAGGTATGTCCTTTTTTTGCCCGTGGGCCCCCACTTTAACACGGAAACCTCCCCTATTCATTCACCACAAGCTGACTTTGAGCATGCTCTCTCCCATCCAGGGTTCAGAGAAAATAGGTCATCCTAGTAGCCAGAGGTGGGGGTGGGATTACATAAAACATCATAGAATCAGTTGACCTCCCTCTTCCCTATCTGGAGAAGAGTCCACTTGGCCCCACCCTATTCTCCCCCAAACCCTCCCTCAAATCCCCACCCCCACCCCAAACCCAAGATATCTTGTTTCTCAAAGCTCTGGTTGTCAGAAAATTCATTAAAGATGTCTCACTGCTGAACTTGGAAACTGATCTTGGTAGGAAGTGTGCTATGCGTTGGAAGGTGTGTTGGATTAGGAGTCAGAAGGCCTGAGTTCTAATCCTACTTCTCCTTTTTCTCATCTGTAAAATGAAGAAGTTGGACTAAGTGGTCTCTCTGATTCCTTCCTGTTCCAAAGGTCTGGATTCTATGCTACAGGCTGTAGGCCAGTGGCCCTCTTAGGGGAGATTTAGGAGTAGCGTCTGGTTTATTATTATTTGTATGAGTCATCTTGAAGATGGAATTTCCCCACCCCCAGGTCTCCAGTGTCCCCCTCCTCCCTAACCTTTCTGTGGTAAGGGATTTGAATCAGTGACGGTAGGAAGGTGAGAAGAAATGGAGCTGAAAAAAATCCAGAATTAACACTGATTGGGATGGGGGAGAGGCTGGGAAGATGGTGACAATCCTATTTAACCTTGGAAAAGGCTTAGAAGCAGCAGTATAGGCTTTCTGGGTATATGCAAATTATACACAAATGTATGTACAATGCACCATCACAGTTTCCTAGGGTAGGGATATGGGGGTTGTAAGTAGAAGTGTCATAAGATCTTAAGATAAAAAATTTAGAGCTGGAAGAGTCATAGAGGTCATGAAGTCCAACTTCCTCATTTTACAGGTGAGGAAACTGAGGCCCAGAGAGGTTAAGTGCTCAAGGTCATTCAAGTAGGAAGCACTAGAGATAGGATTTTGAAACAAAGTTCTGAGTCCAGGGCCAATGCTTTTCCGCCCCCCCCCCCAACATAGTACCATTCTACTAAGAGAAGAAAAAATCTAGAACCCCCAATTCTGCCCCCAGCCCTCATGTCCTGGCATCTGGAAGAGTGGTACCTAACCCTTTGAGGGATGGTGTTGGGGAGGGATATGGTCTTAACCCTGGGGGAGAGGAGATAAGAAAAGGAAGGGGTATTTCTCCTTGGGGACTGGGGGCTCATGACCTGTGCTTCCCAGGCCCGGGTGAGGGAGCTGGAGGAGCAGTGCCGCAGCCAGACAGAACGCTTCAGTCTCTTGGCCCAGGAACTCCAGGCCTTCCGAATGCATCCAGGCCCTTTGGACCTGCTTAGCTCAACCCTGGGTACCAGCAGCACTGAACTACCTCCTGTTCCTTGCTGCTGCTCCACCCCACAGCCCTGCAGGGGGCCCAGCCCCAAAGGTACAGAATGAGAATCATGACACCAATAACCAGATTTCCTATTTCTGGAATGTTTGGGGCTGTGTAGCACAGTGGTTAGAGGGCTGGCTTCTAAGTCAAGAAGACCTGTGTTCAGATCCTCCTTCTTGACATATAATGGCTGTCTGACCCTGGGTAAGACTCCGTGCTTTAGGCTATGAGATTATAAATTGCTCCAGAGAAAGTGCTGACCTGCATTGGAAGAGAGATTCCCTCACACTGATGAAATCACAGGAACTTTCACCCTCCTTCAGGGTTAACATAGCGTTCCCTTATAACAGCCCTATGAGGAGATAAGGCAGTGATTATTCTACCCATTGCAAAGATGAAGAAGCTGAGAGCCAGAGCAATTGAGACTTGGCCTCTATCACAGGCCTGATCTTTTGCAATAACCCTAGAAGGGATGAGGACCTCATTGCACAAGGGGAGTTATGGAGTTCATAGTGCTGGTAACTTGCTCAAAGTCACTATTGGGAGTTAAAGGGGGATCACTGGATGAACAGGCAACAGGAGAGAGCTCAACCACTCTCTCCCTTCCCCCAATAAACATGGGAGGGAGAAAGGGCAGGAGAATATGGATTGGGGGGTGGGGTAAGAGTCTTCCCATATGCATCTTGGGGGCTGTTGTCGGTGCTCAGGCCCCAGGGAAGCTGAAGGGAAAGTGTGGGGAAGACAGTCTATCTTCTCCTCTCCAGCCCTCAGGAGTTCATCTCGTGGCTCTTTAGAGGAGCTATGGAGTGGGAGCCACCTTCTTGGATGGGAGCCCCAGGGTGGGGAGGGACAGCAGTCTGCCAACTGTCTTCCTTCCTTCTTTCAAATCTCCTATCTCTCCTCCAGATGTGGACCTCCTGCCAGGCTCTCCCAGACATGGTGCCCCACGGGCTCCAGATGCAGTTTCTATTGCTCACTCGGGGGCTCCACGAAGGGCTGCCAAGAAGGCAGAGTCTCTTTCCAACTCTTCCCGCTCTGAATCCATTCACAACAGCCCCAAGTCATGTCCTACGCCAGAGGTCAGTGTTTTTACCCTGCCCTGACTTGACGCTGGGGAGAGAGAGTCTAGCATGGTTAGCTTAGCCTGGCAATCTAGCCATATTTCTGTGAAGCACTGGGGTCTCCCATGATCACACTTCTTCTGGGGGTCCTCTGTGGGGTAGGTTGCTACACTGACGAAGGGCTGGGGAAAAGTCCAGCTGGGCAAGGGATAGGACACAGAGCTCTGCCAGCTATCTCCTCAGAATATAGGAGCTGAGCTGAGCGTAGCTCCCTGTCCCCAGAGGTTGGGTCGTAGCCCTGCCTCAGGTTGCTTCTTGCCCTGGTCCTTGGGGCACCCCTTGAGGCCTCAGGGGACCAGACTGGTTGGAGACACTTTGGCGCCAAGAACACTTGCAGAGAGACTATTAGTAAGAGTAGCTGTGGGTATAGGGGCATTTCCCTGCTCCTAAGACAGAGTAGGCACAAAGCTAGCTCTAGGATGGAGAACTCCATACTTCTCTCCAGTTAGAGATTGTATGTTGGGGCCATCTTCAGTTATTCTGCTTGTTCATTCAAATTGCTGCTCCCTTCATCATGCCAACATGCAATCCTTTTTCCCTCAGGGCTTTTAGTGGAAGACAAAAGTTTCCCAGGTACCAATCTGGTGCCGTGGTCAGGTACTGGGGGCAACATCCCATTGTGTAACAGTGGAGATTGTGGAGTCATGGCAAGCCAAAATCACTTTTCCCCTGGCTAGTCTTCCTGCTTCATCAAATCTGTCCACCCGGTCCTATATTGCACAGAGTGGGAAATATTGTATGAGTCCCACTATGCCTCTTGTTAATATCCATCTTCTCACTTCCGCTGTTTCCCCTTTGTGCCAGGTTCTTTAAAACAGGGTTTATAACCTAGGGTCCATGGACCTCCCCCTAATCCCATATACAGACAAGGGGTCTGTGGATAGAATTGGAGGGGTATCTGTGAAAAAAATTACATTTTTATTTTCAGTAGCCTGTAATCAGGGTTCCTTAACCTGGAGTCGGTGAACTTTTTTTTAAAGTATACTTTATAATTATTTCAATATGACTGATTTCTTTTGGTATCCTGTATCTTTTATTTTATTATGCATTTTAAAAACATTCTGAAAAGGGGTCTATAGGTTCACTAGACCACCAAAGGGAGTCTATAATACAAAAAAGGTTAAGAATCCTTTGGAGTAGGGTGACCCTTTAGCTCACATTTAAATTCCACACCCAAATTGTGAATGCAAATTTGTTCCCAAATCAGGCCTTGCCCCTGTTACCTCCATTCGTACCTTCCTGTCCCATGCCCTCGTCCTCAGGTCAGCTCTCTCTACTCTCTTGTGGCATGCCAGCTTGGTTTATAGTTCCTTATCATTTCCCACCTGGACTATGACACCAGCCTCCTAATTGGGCTCCCTTCCTCAAGTCTCTCGCCTTTCTAATTCATCTCCTGTACAGATGCCAAAGTGCTATTCCTAAAGTCACAGGTCTGACATTGTCCTTCCCCTGCTCAACAAACTTCATTTTTTACCTCTAGTATCACATATAATATCCTTCATTTGGCATTTAAAGCCCTCCCTGATGTGGATTCACCCTACATTTCTAGCCAAATATTAGTCCCCTTCATGGACTCTACAATTTAGCCAAACTATCTTTGCTATTTTTCATGCATGACATACCTTTGCACACCCACGTTTTTGCTTCTCCTTTCATACCGGTAATGTACTCCTAGCCACTTGTATCCCCGTCTACCTCTTAGAATCCTTAGTTGCCCTCAAAGCTTAGCTGAACCATCCCCTTCTACATGAGTCTCTCCCTTTTTTCCCTTTTTCCTCCTTGCATTATGGTGTCTCCCCATCTCTAAAGTGCCTTCCTTTGTCTATATTTTGTGCCTGGAACGTAGTCACTGAATAAATTCTTATCAATTGATTGGGGCTCCCTCTGCTGGAAAGATGATGGAACAGGTCAAAACTCAAGCTGAGCATTGTTTAGGGAGCTTGACATCAGGGGGCCTGGGATGACGATTCCTTTCCCTCTTTTCCCAAGTAGGAGAGGGATTGTACACCTCAGGGCTGTGATTGACCCAGAGGATTCCAGCTTTTGATATGGAAAAAATATAGGGTCCATTTGAATCATGCTATGTGCATGTTTTTAAAATGTCTGAGCCAAAAGGTTTCATGTAGTCTAGGGGAAAACTTGTAGTCAGGCTTTGGTCTTTTTGCCTTTTCTGCTTTCACCAAACCCTAATGAGTGTCTGACTTTTCTGTCTGTTTCCTCCTATCTTCCCTCTAGGTGGATACAGCCAGTGAGGTAGAAGAACTGGAGGCAGACAGTGTGTCCCTACTTCCAGAGACTGAGGGTGTCTTCAGGGGAGACAAACTCCAGGTCTTCCTGGCTCGTTATAGGTGAGCATCCTTCCCTCCTGAACTTCTCAGGCCATCTTGCCACATTCCCTGCCTCGCCCCCCCACCCGCCTTCAACCTGTCACTTATACCTCCCCACCAGGCAAAGATGCTGAGAATGTGTGAGCAGGGATGCCTCTGGAAATAGGGCAAGGTCAGGAGGGTTTGGAGGTTGACCTGAGCTTTTCCTCTGTGGATCTCAAAAAATTTAACATGCCTGATCCTGTGTGTGTATATATGTATGTGTGTGTGTATGTATGTGTGTATGTGTGTGTGTATGTGTGTGTGTGTGTGTTAGGGGAAACACGCCTTTGTCCTTTTATTAAAGGGGAAAACTTAGGTGTCTAGGAGGCAGTAGAGGGGCCAGGAATGAGGGAGGGGGGAAGAACAGAAGTGGGGGTGGGGCAGTAGTGCCCCCCCTCCTGCTTTTCTTACCTGGTGACCTGGCCTCTTCTACCGATACCACCAGCTACAACCCCTTTGAAGGTCCAAATGAGAACCCGGAGGCAGAGTTGCCGCTGACTGCGGGCGAGTATATCTATATCTATGGCAACATGGATGAGGATGGCTTTTTTGAAGGTAAGTAGGAAGATATTTTTGTCTCCCTGCCTTTAGATCATTTGTTCCTGAAGATTTTTTACCTAGCTGGTCCCTCTTTCTAGATCAATCAACTTTTTTCTAAGTGGTGCCACAGTGTATAAAATGCTGGGCATGAAGTGAGGAAGACCAGAGTTCAAATTACTTACTAGCTCTGTGACCCTGGGCAAGTCACTTAACCTCTGTTTGCTTTAGTTTCTTCACCTGTAAAATGGGAATGATAATAGCACCTACCTCTCAGGGTTGTCTTGAGGATTAAATGAGATAACTTTAGTGCCTGGCACACAGTAGGTATTTAATAAATTTTTGTTTCCTTCCCTGTCTCCCTTCCTCCTAAAGACCTGAGGGTATCCTTGCCTTTGTCATTTCTAAGCCCCATGTCCTTGTCTTTTCTTGGAGGTCATTTGAAAGTCTAAACCCTTACTTTTTACCTCTTGGCTCCACCCTACCTGAAAAACTGGGGTCAAGGACTAGGTGTGTGGGGCTGTGGAGGGAGTACAATAAAGGGAAGTATATGAAGGTGAGTCATTCATTCAACAAATATATATTAGTCACTATATTTAAAGCACTATTACATTTTCTCTGGGTGGGATATGAAGGCAAATAAGTTAGCCATAACTTCCCATTGTGTTTATCATCACTTCACAGGTTTGGGTTTGCCAAGGTTGAGCCTTCTGAGATTGTGTTTTGGGGCAGTTGTGTGGCACAGTGGATAAAGGAATGGCCATGGAGTCAGGAGGACCTGAGTTCAAATCTGGCCTCACTAGCTGTGTGACCAAAGCATGTCACTTAACCTTGTTAGCCTCAGTTTTCTCATCTGTAAAATGAGCTGGAGAAGGAAATGGCAAACCACTCCATTATCTTTGCCAAGAAGACCTCAAATTGGGTCACGAAGAGTCAGACAGGACTGAAAACAACTGAACAATAACTTTCTGACTCCAGGCCCAGGGCTTTAGCCACTGCACTGCCACTTAGCTGCCTCATCATGGTGTGAAATGACCCTAGATTTTGCAAGGTTATATTATTAAGGGAACTTAAATTCTGGTAAGTTCTACCCCATGCCGTGTCATATGGAATTGGGATGGGATGAAGCTTTCTGACTCGTCTGCCTGGCGTTCTATGAACTATGGCGCCGCCTAGCTGCTCTGTGGTTGGATTAAGTTACTTCAAATACAATACTTACAATCCTCCATTGTTAAAACATTTAAACAGAAGTTTTCAATCAGGGCTAGACAATGGCTTCTCAGAGTTCGCTTCCCTTTCTTCTTGTCTCTTCGCCCTTTGTGCAGGGGAGCTGATGGATGGCCGCCGGGGCTTGGTCCCCTCCAACTTTGTGGAGCGAGTATCGGATGATGACCTCATGATGTCACTGCCCCCAGAGCTGATGGACCTGTCTCATAGCTCAGGCCCTGAGCTCAGTTTTCTGAGTGGTGGTGGGGCTGCTAGCAGTGGGGGTCAGAGCAGTGGAGGAGGCAGCCAGGCTAGGCATGAGGAGGAGAGGAATGAGCTCAGCCCCAGCCCCCTGCTGGACCCCCCTGCCGTGCCTTATCCCCGACACTTGGCTGTCCTAAAGCAGTTGGCCCACAGTGTGGTGCTGACGTGGGAACCTCCTTTGGATGGGGCTGAGGTTCAGGGTTACCACGTCTGTGTGAATGGAAAGCTGCATCAGGCCCTGGGCCCTGGAACACCCCGAAAAGCTGTGCTGGAGCATCTGGACCTGCAGTCAGGGACCTGCTGTGTGTCTGTGCAGGCTGTGACCAGCCAGGGCAGCTCAGACCCTCTTTGCTGCTGTGTTATGGTAGGGGCAGGAGCTGGGCCGGCCCCCAGCCAGCTGCGGGTCCGCCGAGTGACCGCCACATCTGCTGAAATCACCTGGGTGCCCAGCAACAGTAACCTTGCCCATGCCGTCTACCTCAATGGGGAGGAGTGCCCACCTGCACGTCCAGGTACCTACTGGGGCACCTTCTGCCACCTGTGTCCTGGCACACCCTACCAGGCCCGAGTGGAGGCCCGGCCCTTCACACTTGGGCCTTCGGAACCAAGCTGGGAGAAGCTACAAAATCGAGTGGCTGTTGTACATTTCACCACTTTGGCAGCAGGTATGAAGGGCAAGGAATGACCAGGGCTGGGCCACTGGAGATTGCGCGGCAGATTGAGTCACTTCTTTGAAAGCCTGTTCTCAGGAAATTTAAGCTACTGAGAAGAGTGTCAGAGGCTCAGGGCTGCTCCCCCTTCCCTGGGGATGATCAGTGGAGCTCTTTGTCCTCTCAGGAGGTCCTAAACTTTAGACATGGATGGGACTTTAGATATCATTGAGTTCAAATCCTTCAGCTTACAGATAAGGAAAGACCCAGAGAAATGACTTTGTCCAAGGTCACATGCATAAATAGCAGAGCTAGGATCTGAACCTAGGTCTTTTGATTCCAAACCAAGTACTCTTTCTGCTATGCTGCATCATTCCCTCTTTCCAGGGATGGGGTGGGTGGGTGAGTGGGTGGACCCTTGGCTGACTTTCTATTCCCCTCCCTCCTCTAGGCCCCCCAGATGCTCCCCTAGATGTGCAGATTGAGCAAGGCCCCTCTCCAGGGATCTTGGTCATTAGCTGGCTCCCAGTCACCATTGATGCTGCTGGATCATCCAATGGCGTCCGGGTCACAGGTTATGCTGTTTATGCTGATGGACAGAAGGTACCACATTGGGATGCAGGGAGTCGTGCCCACATTCTAGCCCCTTCATGCACTATGCCCTTAGTGGTAGGTCACTGGCCCCTGTTGCAGATGAAGGAGAAGACCCTCAGTCCTTCCTTTCTAGTAACTCACAAATAGCTGACTATCCCGTGCCTCACATAGTGACGCTGTAAACTCTAGGCATCCAGGGTGGGAGTATTCTGGGGAGTGGTTGTTTCTTCCTTAAGCCTTAGGATTTCCTTCTTTCCCCTGCTAGGCATTGGGAGGGGGCCATTGGGGATGTGAGATGGGGAGGTGACCTTATGGTAGGGATGGGTGCTAAAGACGGTTTTCGTTCCTGTGCCCCCCATACCCCAGATTATGGAGGTTGCCTCCCCAACAGCAGGCAGTGTGCTGGTAGACCTGTCTCAGCTACAATTGCTACGGGTGTGTCGGGAGGTGGTGGTACGCACCATGTCCCCTCATGGAGAATCTGTCGATTCCATCCCGGCCCAACTTCCTCCAGCCTTGGCTCTGGCCTGCCCACCCCCTCTGGTTCTCAGACCATCTGCCGCCTCCCTGTTGCTTTCTGCAAGCCCTGAGGCCGAGTCCCCTCCTTGCCCTGCCGCTCTGGGCCCTGGGGATTCAAAGCCCCTCTCTCAGCACCAAGATCCTCCTGGAAGCCGAGACATTGCAGAAGACCTCTCCGGCAGCCCCTTGGAGACAACAGAGAGGCTCTCCCAAGAGGACTCCACAGGGGATGGCCTGCAGGTGGTTATATTGGGAAATTCTTCGTCTGGGCCAAGACCTTAACTGTTGGGAGTTCTGGGCCCTGAGTGCCTGCACACAGTCTTCTCCCTATTCATTGCTTCCTTTTTCAGGAGGAGGCTAGAACCCTCACAACAGCAAGATGGGCCGCTGCAGGCAAGAGAGGCCAGGGTACAGGGCCTCCTGTGTCAGGGAAGAAGGAAGAGGAGGCAGCCGTGGTGGTGGAGAAGGGGCTAGGAGAGTCAGCTCCTGACCCTTGCCCAGCTCCAGGAGCCCCTGCTGAGAGGATGCTGGGGGTAGAGACTGGTCGAGGAGAGATTGGGCCTGGGCTCCGCACCAGGGCTGAGGTGAGCACAGGGGGACAGTGCACAGGCCAGAGGATTGTAGTCACAGCAGGGGGACAGTACCTTGAGGAGCTAGGCCCAGGGTCTATGACTCTTCCCCATCTTCTACAGCTGACCAGTATCTTCTTTGTCTACGTGTCAGAATGGAACTCTTTCCCCCCACCAATCACTATTTAGATGGTGCTGGGGAGGGGGGTTTACAAAGTGCTTTACCTATGTGTGATTTCATTTGTGTCTCGGAATAAGCCTATGAGGTAGGAGGGGGTGAGGCAAATAGAATCTCAAAAAGGAAAAAGACTGGCTTCCAAAGCCTCCTTTTCTTTCCTTTACTCCATCAATTAGTGCTTAATAAATGCTTTCATTAATCAACACTCTTGATGAGCTCCAAAATATTCTGCAAACCTGTGTCTCCCTGTGGTCACCCCTATTCTATCAAAGGGGAGAAGAGGCCCAGAGAGGATGAGTGGCCTATTTACTAGAGGTCACTGCACAAAAGTCTGTGCTTGGGCTTGGCATGAGTACCTTCTTTGCTCGGAGTAGGAGTTGAGTTTTCCTAAAGGACCTTATTACTACTTATGGGAAAGAAGGGAGAATAAAATCAACTCACAGAAGATAAGAATTGATGAGTTCCAGAGTGCTAGGATCAGATTTCTTTTTTCTTTTTTTTTCTTTTTATGTATTTATTTATTTAAAAAAAATTTTTTTCCATATGCTTTTGAGTTGAAAATTTTTTCTCCCTTTTTCTCCCCCCCCCCAAGACGGTGCACAATCTGACACAGGTTTTACATTTACATACCCATTAAACATATTTTCACATTAGTGAAGTTGTAAGTGAAAATTAAAACCAATAGGAGGAACCATCAGAAAGATGAAACAAAACTCAACTGAAGGTAAAAATAAGTGAGAGCAATTCGACTTCCATAGTTCTTTCTTCGGATGTGGATAGCATTTTCCATCCCGCGGCCTCTGGAGATGTCTTAGATCCTCGTAATGCTGAGAAGGGTTCAGTTTAACATTCTTAGTCATTGCATAACGTGGCTGCTATTGTATACAAAGTCCTCTTGGTTCTGCTCACTTCACTCAGCATCAGACCATATAAGTCTTCCCAGGTTTTTCTGAAGTCAGCCTGTTCATCATTTCTTATAGAACAATAGTATTAGGATCAGATTTCTTATCTCTGCAGAGCTTAACTAGGTTAATTCTGGTCACTGGGGAAAACAGTAAGACCTCCTTCGGCAGGAGAAATTGGGAGGGGAGAGGGGGTTAGAAACCTCAGGACCCAGATCCTACTGGGGAAGAGACCCTGCAACTTGAGTAGAGACCTCAGGATGACCCAAGGCCATGGCTGTGGCAGGGAGCAAGGCCGAAGTAGAAGGAAGCCATCTGTGGAGTTTCCAATTAGAATTAATTAATTCTTGCTAACTAGGTGCTAAGCTCATGGTCTCTGCCTGCTGAAGGAGCACTGCTGTTGTCAGTGCTCTCTAAATTCTGGTGCCATGAGTCCTGGTTATCCTGTATCTAGCTATCAATTATGGCCACAGCTTGCTGGATTAAGTAGCTCCTTTCTGTAGAGGGAGAGGGAGAGGGAGGGAGGGAGAGAGAGAGAGAGGTGAGAAGGAGGGAGGGAGAGAGAGAGAGGAGAGAGAAGGAGGGAGGGAGGGAAAGGGGGGGAGAGAGGGGACACAGAGAGAGAGAGAACATGAATGAGAGCGCCTAACCCCTTCCCCACAAACTCTCAGTTCTCTCCCACCCCTACTCTCCTTCAAAGCTGGTACCCCTTCTGGTGTTTCAGTCAAATTCTGTGATCAGTTCTTTCAGAAACCATTAATCTGCCATATTAGCAAGACTTCCCCCCAGCCATAGGAAGTAAAAGACCATTTCTTCATTTCTTCAGGGCTAAGATTATCATTCTGCTTTTTCAGAAGAGGAAACAGGTCCAGAGAGGTAGCAGGGTGTAGTGGAAAGAATGCTGGCCTCGGAGTGAGAAGAGGCAAAAAAAATCTCAAAAATTTGAATGAAAATGCCAACCTTAGCCCTGACATTTAACTAGATGAGTGACTCTAGGCCAGTCATCTCCACTGTCTGAGCCTCAGTTTATTCCTCTGTAAAATGGGAATAACAAATACTTGACCACTTACCTCACCAGGGCTATTGTGAGGAAAACATCTGGTCAATGTGAATTATTGTTATTATTATAGCTATTAATATAGGTAGCAAATACCACTCACTGTGCTGGGGCTCAAACAATCTCCCGCTCCCCATTCCCTTCCCTTCCCCTTCCCCCTTCTTGCTTCTCTCTCCTTCCCTTCTCCTCCACCATTGTCCCTCATCTTCCTTCTTGGCCTCCTCCTCATTTTCTCTCTTTCTCTTTCCTGTATCAACACCTTTCACTATCTCATTTCTTTTTCCTTTTCTTTCTCTTCCCAATATCTTTCCTCACCTTCTTTTTCCTTTTCCCTCTTTTCCCCCACCCCCCCATTTTCTGTCTTGCCCCTTTCTCTCCCTTCCTTTTTTCTTTCTTCATTCTTCCCCCTAAATGTCTTGTGGGGAGGGACTCCTTCCCATTTCATACACTTATGCCTTCTCCCCTGTCCCTTTTCCCCAGCAGAGGGAGGATGCTGCTGAGGTTGGGGCCCGCCTGACAAACTCTCTCATGGACCATGGCCGAAGCTCTGACCTGTCAGACATCCAAGAGGAAGAGGAGGAAGAAGAGGAGGAGCCAGGGCCAGAGTCTCTCTCTTCCCCCCAGCATGGGGAGACCAACAACAGGGAGAATGGTGCCAAGGTAATGGGGGTGAGGGGAGTCAGACCGAGGCTGGTCCTTCCTGGGCCACTTCTGCAGCATCTCTTGAGTACCAGTGATGTACTAGTCACCATGTTGAGCTTCGAGCAAAGGAGACCAGGAGGATGAGGTTAACTTTGTGACCCTTCTGGGGATGAAAGGGGGAAAGAGGAAGCTTTTTCTATTCCTTCATCATGGTGCCTGGAAGAGGTCTTCTAGGACTGGGAGAACCGCAGAGATGGAGCCCAGACTGGATGGTGGAAGGACAGGGAAGGTTACTTCATGAATCTGGGCTTGGATAAATAGGATCTGAGGTCCTCAAGCTGGGGACTGGTGGGAAGGGGATGCAGGGAAGAAAGCCCTCGTGTTCAACTTCCATTAAGATATGTCTGTCACTCAACATCACCTCCCAGTCCCGGGGCCCACATATTCCTTCACTGAAGCCCAAGGATTGGAATGTGAGGAATCAGGAGACATAGCTTCTTCTTCTGGCTCTGCCTTCTGCATGCCGTGACCTCCATGGGGTCACTAGCATTCTCTGGCCCTCTTTTCTCCTTTGATAGAACAGGGAGAGGTGGTTGGAAAGTACTTAGGAGGAAGGTGAGGGGGAGATGTTTGATTGTCCTAACCCTCCCACCCACTCCAACCCCAACTTCTGGATGGTGTTAACCCTTTTCTCCTCTTTCCCAATGACCCCCTCATTCCTGTTACTGCCCATGTCCTCTCCCCCACCCCCACCCCAGCCGGACTCTTGTGAGACAGACAGTGATGAAGAGATCCTAGAGCAGATTCTTGAGCTCCCTTTTCAACAGTTTTGCAGCAAGAAGCTCTTTAGCATCCCCGAAGAGGAAGAAGAAGAGGTGGAAGAAGAGAAGGAAGAGAAAGAGGAGGAAAAGAAGGGGCCAGGTGGCTCCTTGACTTATACCCACTTGCCAGAGCCCCAGGGGGTGGGACTAAATCGCTCTGGTAGCCGCCTCTGGGAGTTGAGACCATCCCCCTTGACCCCTGACTCTTCCCTGGGAAGGGACCCCCCTGAGGAGCTTACCCCCTGCCAGCCTGGAGGGAGCCCCCTGGGGAGCCGGCGGAGGGGAGGGGGCTCCCCTGAGAAACTGCCTGCCCGCAAACGACCTCCTGACCTCCGAGAGCACTGCAGTCGCCTTCTTGGCAGCAGCGGGACACAGGGGTCTGGAAGGGATAGGGGTGCACCTTCATCCAATGAAGGAGTGAAATGTGGAACAGAAACTAGTGGGAAGGGGTGGCCAGGTCTATCCCCGGAGATGTCCCAGGGGCCTTGCCCCTGAGTCGGGCCTTGCCAGCTGTTTTGCCCCAAAGTGCTTGGAGATCAGTATTGAATACGACTCTGAAGATGAACAGGAGTCTGTGGGCAGTGGCAGTAGCCTCTCCTCTTCCTCCTGCTGCCCTCGAGATGGGGAGGGCCGGGGCACTGGACTGGAAGATGCCCCCCTAGGAGGAAGGCGGGGGCCACCTGGGACAAGCCCTGCCCCCAGCCACTGCCTTCGCCTCTCTAGCTGTGAGAAAGGGGAGCTGGAAAGGAAAGGCCGAAGCCTGAACTGCCGAGTGAAGGAACCACCCCCTCGGGTCTGTGTCCACCAGCCTCGGGCATCTCCTATAGTGGCTGCTGTTGTGTCTCCCCTCCCCGCTTCCTACTGTGCCAGAGTGCTTTGTGGGCTCCGCCGCTCATCTGCCAGGAGGTCCCATTCCATGCCATCCCCCATCTGCAGTGCTGGGAGTCAGGCCCCCCAGGCTCCCTCTCACCTGCTGCTTATCCCCATGCATCCTGTAGCTTCGGTGCTTCTGCTGGCTAGGCCCCTCTGCATACTACCACCTGTTGGAGGCTGGCACCAGGCTCTTCCCTGCCAGGCATCCTACCAGGCACCTGGTGCCCCTTGGCAGGATGGCCGCTTGCCTCTGGACAAGATAACAGGCCACCACGTTGAGGGGAGGGTTCTTACTGAATACCTAACCTCAGTCCTCAGGGCTGCAGCTCAAATCCATTTATCTAGGAGTTTTAGAGAGCAATGGGTGCAGAAGTGGGATAGGATTAGTGTCTTCCTTCTAGGTGTGATCTTAGGATCCATCTTGCCTGACTCAAGGTGTTGGCACAACTTAAGAGTGATTAGAAGGCTCTAGGGAGAGGCATGTTGTGTCTGGCTTTTTTTCTACCATGCTTGACTGCTGGGGAAGATGGGGTGGCAAGGAGGAAGTGGGAAAGGGCTCTGTCAGACCTAAACTGAACCCCTGGGTACCAAAGGAATGGGAGGATGATTTCTGACCCTTCTGTCTATAGACACCAGAGGCTAGAGAGCTCAGGGGCCAGGATGCTGCTGGACAGAGGTGCCCCCCCAGGAAAGGAAGTCGACCTCCCAGGCTGGGTGCAGCTGAGCTGGGTGAGTGGTTTATAAGAGACAGAGATGGGAGGCAGCTAGGTGGCACAGTGAATAGGGCTCTGACCTTGGAGTTAGGAGGACCTGAGTTCAAATGTGGTCTCAGTCACTTAACACTTACTAGCTGTGTGACCCTGGGCAAGTCACTTAACCCTGATTGCCTCACCAAAGAGAGAGAGAGAGAGAGAGAGAGAGAGAGAGAGAGAGAGAGAGAGGGAGAGACAGAGACAGAGACAGAGACAGAGACAGAGACAGAGATGGAAGAGCATTGGTTGGTGTAGGAGTAAATCCTTCCTTTCCCCTTTTCCAAGACTAATCTGGGCAGCTCCCTTCTTGGCCTTGGGAATCATCACAGTGCAGTGGAAAATGTGCTGGATTTGAAATTTGAAAGGCCTAGATTCAAATCCTGGTTCTTCCATTTGCTGCTTGCAAGGGGAGGTTGGGGTGAAGGAGGGAGATATTGGATTAGATGACCTCACAGCTCTGGATCTATGATCTGTTTGCCCCTTAGCCTTTCCAAGAAACCAGGCGAAAGAGATTTCCCCTCCAAATGAACCTGTTCGGATCTTTGTGGCTCTCTTTGACTATGACCCCCGTGTCCATGTCACCCAATCCTGATGCTGTGGAGGAAGAGCTCCCATTTCGGGAGGGTCAGCTCTTGAAGGTAAGAATGCCCTATATCCTATCATCTTGACTTCTGGTCAGAAAGTTCAGATAGCTGGTGTTTTGAGAGAGCCCTTGTGGGCAGGATCACGATAGGGGATTCCTGGGGGATTATTCCCGGGCCTGATCTTACTGTAAAACTCATCTGTGGAATGATTTGTATAGATACATTTAAGCTGTGTAAACACACACACGCACACACACACACACACACACACACACACACATACACACACACACACACACACACAGAGTCAGTCTGAGCTCTTCATCCATACTTTGATAATAAGATCATTTAATGTATCGCTTGAGCTTTCCCCTCCCTTTATGAACAAATGGCTTTCTCCCTACTTTCAGGGTTGTATGGGGGTGTGACTATACCCATGCTCTAGATGGGGGTGGTATTGGAAACTGTGAGGGACAGTGGAATGAATATGTCCCTGGTGGGGGAGTTGAACCAAAAAACAACCAGCTTGAAGCTGGAGAAGTGGGTGGAACCCAGCAGCCATTATGACATGGTGGAAAGGGCACTGCATTTGGAATCAAAATTCCTAGGTTCAAAGTGAAGCTCTGCCACTTGCTGCTTTTGTGACTTTGGGCAGATCACTAGACCTCCTGCGTCTTAGTTATTTGTAAAATGAGGAGGGAGATCATGGATTCTTAACCTGGAGTCTTAGAGGGGTGGGGTGAGGGGAAGGGCTGTCTATGAACTTGGGTGGAAATAATTAAGCCTTCATTTTCACTGACCTTTAACTGATACTTTAGCATTTCCTTCCTGTATGAATGTAGGCAACAAACATTACTAGGAGAAGGGGCCCACTGGTTTCATCAGACTTCCCAAGGGGGCTGTGACACAAAAAAAATTGGCAGCTAGTGTCAAGTGTTTGGTCTGAGGCCAGATTTGAACTCAGGTCCTCCTGACTTCAGGGCTGGAGCTCTATCCACTGCACCACCTAGCTGCCCCTAAAGATTGGCATTTAAGGATACCTTGGAGGGCCAAGCTCTGTCAATTGACAGTGTACTTTTTTTTTTTATTCACAAAGCAAAGAAAATAGAATGAAAATTTTTATTTATTTCCAAATACAATTATAAAACATTTTGTATCAGTTGACACATTTGGTCCCTCTAGTGTTAAGGTTCAATTCTAAATCCTAGGATCCTTTGAAAAAACTCAATCTTTGCCTTAGGAAACTTTAAGGGGAAGTAAGGAAGGTGAGCCTAAAGAATCTGGGGAGATGAAAATACCCTGAAGGTCTAGGCATGAACTGGTACTAGTAGGAGATAAAGACGGGACTTTTACTCTAGCAGGTCTGGGGTGCCAGTCGTTGAAGGTCAAGTAAGGCAGAGAACAGGAAATGATTGCCATTGGATGAAGTGGGACTGCATTAGTCCAGCCCTTTCTTAGTCTGGGATCCATTTATTCACATATCACATCTGTCCATTTCTTCCCTCTTTTTTTCCCCATCTCCCTATCATTTCATCCCTTTTACCCCCTCAGGATATTGTGTTGGTCCCACAGTGTGTGGTAGGGAGGCTGTCTGGTTATTAAGGTGGCTATGGTCTTTGTCCCCAGGTGTGTGGAGAAAAGGATGCTGATGGCTTCTATCGGGGAGAATGTGGAGGTCGAGTCGGCTATGTTCCCTGCAATATGGTGGCTGAGGTAGCAGTGGGCAGTCCCGTGGTAAAAAGACAGCTACTCCAGAAGGGTTACATACACCCTGACAGCCCTAATGAAGGCTCAGGTATGGTTTTTTACCCTGTTTCACATCACCAGGGGAGCTGACTAGGATGTAATGGGGTTAGGATTATAAAGAGAACATGGCTATTATTTGGTAGGGAGGTAGGCAAGGAGCCCCTTAGCTCCAGGTGAAAAAAAAAACTACCCAATTTCAATTGGGTTTGAAAATATACCCAAAGATTCATTCTGGGGCCTCAATTACTTAGTGGAAAACATTCAGAAGTTCTCAAGATGATTGGGCTAGTTAGGAGGGGGGAGGCCTCAGTGCCTGAACTCAGGAATTTAGTCTAATTCTATGGTGGCCATAGAATCCACAAGGGAAGTTTTGACATTGAGAACTTGGAATGGTCTTTGCTCTATTTCCTCTCCTTTCCTCTGTCTCACTGTTTATCTCATTCATCATCTGGCTTTGTTTAGGGAATGGCCCCTTCCCGCCACTTGCTCCTCATCCGGCTGGGCCACCCCCCAAACCTCGGAGATCCAAGAAAGGTAGGCAGTTGTTTTGGTACCCAGTGAGAGGGGGCATCAAGAATTAAGGCACTGTCTGACTTCGCAGGAGCCACTTAGAAGCTCTGGGGGGTCTCTGACCCCAGTGGTCAACCCCAGCTGTGTGTAGTATCTGGAAAGAGAATTTGGACTGGGAGTTAGGAGACCTGGGTGCCAGTCCTGACCCTGATAATAACGAACTCTGTGATGTTTGGCAAATCATCCAACCTCTCTGAGTATCTTCATCTGTACAATAAGGAGGTGGGCTAGATGTTCTCTAAAGGTTCATTGCCTCTTAAACAATCTATGATTTTCTAATGATTCTTCTTTAAATGATATTTTATTTTTCCCAGTTGCATGTAAGGACAATTTTTAACATTCTTTTTTTTTTTTTTGGAATTTTGAGTTCCAAATTTTCTCCCTCCTTCCATGCCCTTCCCCCATCCCTGAAATAGTAGCAATTTGTTATACATGTGCAATCATGCAAAATGTATTTCCATATTAGTCATGCTGTGAAAGAAAACACAGACCAAAACAAAGAAAGAAAGTGAAAAGTATAATGTTTCAAACTCCATCAATTTTTTTCTCTGGATGTGGATAGCATTTTCCTTTGTGCATCTTTTGGAATTGTCTTGGATCATTGTATTGCTGGGAACAGCTGAGTCATTCACAGTTGCTCATCATATGATATTGCTGTTACTGTGTGCAATGTTCTCCTGGTTCTGCTCACTTCACTTTGCATGAGTTCGGATAATGATTCTTTTCAAAAAAAAATTAATGTCTTTTTTTAATCACCTAAATTTCCCACTGTACCTTTCTCTGCCAAGAAAGCCATAGAATATAATAAAGAAATTTCTCTTATGATTCTGATCTGGGAGGGGTGGGGCCAGTGTCAAGCCTGAGGGATAGGGGAGAAGGGAGAGGACCAGAGGAGCCTAGGAATCTTCTTGTCCATAGCTGAGCCAGAGTGCTGCCAGTCCTGCAATGGGGAAGACCCAAGCTTGGGCTGCCTAGTAACAAGGGAAATGGAGGGAAGGACAAAAATGATACAACCCAGTAGTGCAGTAGATAGAATACTGAGCTTGGAGTTGTGAAGACTTGAGTTCAATTTGTCTGCAGACACTAACTGCAGTCACTAATGTGACCCATGGCAAGTAATTTTTAGCCAATGTCAGCCTCAGTTTTCTTATCTATAAAAATGTGGGTAATAATAACACTTATCTCACAGAATTGTTATGAAAGTCAAATGAGATAATAATTGTAAATTGCTTTGCAGATCTTAAAGTGCATATAAATGCTATTATTATTATCATCATTCTTATAACACCCCCATGATGGACTTTAAATGTAGAATGAGACATACATTTTTGGACATGGTCAATGTGGAAGTTTGTTTTGCTTATTTGTTATGAGGACTTTCTTTTTCTTCTTTTTCTTTTCTTTCTTTTAATTGTTCTGTGGGGGTCAGGAGTGGGAGGGAGAGAAAATAAATTCTTGTTCATTGGAAAGAGAAAGTTAAATTTTTAAAAATTGTTATACCTCTAACCTCTCCTTAAGGAATAATGCCAGGTTGAGAGGGTCAACCTAAGCCTCTGACCACCAGCTAATGGGGTGGGAAGAGGAGAAGGGGAAAGGGAGCTTCAGGTAAAAGGAAGAAAGGGCTTGTTCTTTGTCTCCCTTCAGGCTCCTCCTCTCAGCCAGATGCCAGGGCCAGCCCCAGCACATCCCGTTCCATGGTTGCTGCCTTTGATTATAACCCTCGAGAGAACTCTCCCAATGTGGATGTGGAGGTAAGGATCTTTCCTGCAAAGAGATACCTGGTTGGGGTTCTCCCAAGGTGGGTTCCCTGGGCACTGACTTCCCCCAAGCCACTGGAGCTTACCTGGGCATCTCCCTCTACAGGCCGAGCTGTCCTTCAAAGCTGGGGATGTCATCACAGTGTTCGGGGCCATGGATGATGATGGCTTCTACTATGTGAGGGGTGGCAGATAAGGACTTTGTCTCTCTCTGCTCCCTAGTTTCTGGCTCCTTCAGGGTTGGACATGAAGCAGGGGGAGATATCAGGGAAAGGGGGGGGGTCCCTGAAAGCTGGGAGGGGCAGGGCAGGAGAGACCTAACTTTAGACTCACCTTTCCCTCCAGCAGTACTTTACTGATAGTGTGGACAGGGTGGTTGGTGTTGGCCATAGGTCCTGTCCCCAGGGGAACCTGATTAAAGGAGAGAGAGAGATATGCAGGGTAGGGAAGGGATCTCCAGAAATCTAGTCCAGTAGGAGAGGAGGTTCCTTAATACACTGCATGATTCCCCCCCCCCCCACCGCAACATCCTTGGTGTCTTTCCCACAGGGAGAGCTGAATGGACAAAGGGGCCTTGTCCCATCCAATTTTCTGGAGGGCGTAGTCTCTGGTGAGTACAGGAGAGTAGCCGGGCCACCTAAGGAAAAGGATGCTGGGGTCCTTACAGCTGAGAGCCAGGTAAGCACAGAACCAGTGTATCAGCCTCTTCTATCTCCCCTTAGATACAGATGGAGACAGAGTAGTCAAGGATAGTAGTGGGGAAAGGATGGATGAAGCCTAAGGGATGGTTGGGACTATACCACAATGGTTGAGGCAGGAAGATACTAGCTCCAGACCACAGTCTGCTCTCACAGGGCTGAATGATCCAAAGCCCTGGATAGCTTAAACCCTGAATGTTTTAACCTCTTCCAGAATTGAGAGCCTGACCCCAACCTCTGGGGCAGAAACTATTATGTCATACATGACCAGTGAATTGGAAGAGACAGGTAATAAGGAGTCCGGGTAATTAACAAAGTGGAGAGTGAATCCTTAGATATTCTAGTCATTCACTTGGGATTCAGGCTCTCTGGATCTCTGAGACTGATGGTTGCATCACTCACTCCTACTTGGGCACTGGCCGAGGGTGGAGGCCAGATCAGTAGGTACTGAGGGTACTGGATTAAGTCAGACAGAGCCCATTGTGGAAGGAGGGTAGGTTGGGCTCATGTCCCTGTGGTGGCTTACTCTCTATAGACTGGTCTCAGACTGCTGCCTATTCTGCTGGGCTGGCCTCCCTTAGGAGAAAGATCTGGTAAGATCTTCACTCTGTTCCTGAGGGCCTGAGAAAGGAGCCCTTTGAGTGAGAGGGTGCCTGGTTTAGCCTCCTGCCCGGCAGGTCCCCATATTGTCTCCCCTACCTCCATGGAACAGAACTCCTGCTTTTCTGGGATGTAGCACTAGATACACGAAGCTGAAGGAGTAGATGAAGGGCATGATGTGCAAAAATTGGGACCATCCCAAGAGCAGGATGGGGCGGGTTTGCATGTCTGTCAGTAACCCACCACCTCTGTTTATTCTCGGCTCTTCAGAGAATGAGGAAGAGAAGAGTCCAGTGCTAGATGGAGATAGATATGTAGAGTGACATGTAAGTGGGGGGAACAGGCCCATCTTCCCTAATCTCCCACCATTCCATGTGCCTCTCCAGCTATATAGCTTCCCACCCCTCTTCACCAGCTCCTAGCCTCTTTCATTCAAATAGAATAATTCTCTAGATCAATATAGTATGTTTTCAATCCCCAGTCTGCTCATGATTGTTGGTAATAATAGACTGTCTCATAAGTGTACATAATACATGTAATTAATCATGTATTATGACATCACGTATGTGGCATAATATATTATGACATCCTGTATCAAGAGCATTTTGTGATATAGGATTCTAGTGCTATAACAATGTGTTTGGTAATAATTAGAAGAATCACAAATACCACTAATAGCAACGTCATCTCTCTAATCACAAATACCATTCTCATGAGCAATATCATTATAACATTACATCCAGACTGAACTTATTTTATAGCCAACTGTCATCCCTGAGGGAGACTCTGAACATTTAGATAACCCAAAGCTTCTCAGCTTGGAGAGTTTACTTTGTCCTACCTTAGTCCAAGATTCCTTTAGTTTTTTTTTTTAAAAATTACCGATTCTTTTAAAAAATTCTAAACATTGATGCCCATTTATTTTTTCCCTTCCTCTTACCCCTGCCCCCAAATAGCACGCTTCACAGTAACTAACCATGGAGTATAGTCAAGCATGAACAAATCAACATGCTGGCTGGTTGTGACAATGTATGCTGCATTCCTTATCTATCATTCACCACCTTATCTGGCCAAGAAGCAGGAGCCTTGCCTGACTGTTGTCTTTCATTGCAATTGGTTTCTGCCTTTCATTTAATTTCTCTAGCAGTCTTCTCCTATTCCCCCTCCCCTTAGAGGGAAGCGGGAAGGAGGAGAATCAAAGAGCCTGGGTGGTCTCAAACGAGTTTATCTACCTCTGGGTAATTGAGAGTTGGCTTCCTAGAGTACGTAGTCTGAGTTGGGTAACCCAGAGTTCCTATTCCACATGTCACACCGCCCAGGGGCCATAATGCCATGGAAGCGTGGGGTGGTAGTGGGAGCTGGGGCTGGGTCAAATGTTGGGTTGAACTTGTGTTTGGGATTGTGTTTGGTTTGCAGTGGTGGGTACAGGTGGTACAAGGAAGAAACCTGAAGCAACGATGAAGCAATGAGAAGGGGTTTGAAGGACAGGAACAAGTGGTGGGAGCCGGAGGTGGGGGTGGGGGTGGGGGAGGGCTGGTAAGGCAGTGCCACATGCTGGAAAAAAGCCAGAGGGTAGCTCAAAGGATTGTAGATTTAGAGCTAGAAGGGACCTCAGAGGTCATCCAGGCCAACTCCCTCACTTTACATACATCTGGGGAAACTGAGACCCAGAGAAGCCCAAGGTCACACTGATAGCAAGTGACAGAAATGGAATTTGAATCCAAGTCCTCTGAATCCATTTCTCCTTTATCACTTTTGCTAGGTTGTGAGGGATGAGGCAAGAGGTACAGGGCTAATGTTACAGAAGAAGAGAGAAAATTTAGAGAGTTATGTTAACTCTCTAAACACGGATGAGAGATCAGTAAAGCTTTAAGTATCAGAGAACTGAATTAAGAGTAGGCCTACCCTACTCAGGGGACTGGATTAAATGATTTAATGTAGTCTTTCCCTCTTGGGAAGAGTCCAGTTTGGAATTTTCTGGTTATTTCCAAGGCCCCTCAGTTACTGATTTGAGGAGGAAAATAACCCCCCAAACCTGCACCAAGCTGGTCTCTCCTGTTATTGTCTTTTGGGGTTGGGGCCATCCTGCCTCACTCCTCCTGGTCTCCAGACCATGTTCTTTGGACAAAGGAGAGTGGTTCTTCTTGGAGACTCCTCTGTCATAGGGAGACCCGAGTTGGGCAGGTGGAGAGGGGGTCAGTAACCTGTCAAATGACCCTTCCTGTTTTTAACCAGCTAGGGCACATCTGTAGGAATTTTTTCCACTTGGGACAATTTCCCTACCTTGGTTCTCTAAAGAATGGGAAAGATTAGGCTAGCATGGCAGGAAAGCATATGATCCCAGGACCAGCTTTATAAAATGTCAGAGCAGGCACTAGAGATCTTAGTATCATGGAGGAGAAAGCTGAGGAAGAAGGGGAAGCACGCTGCTTCAAAGTCACAGAGGAAGGGGAACAGAAGCGGGAATCTAGGTCTCTTTCCTTAATCCCACCTTGATTTATGCCTCCTCTTCCCTATTGTTGTTTGTCCTTCATTCTCTAAGATGACCATGACATCAGGGAGGTGATGCCATGACATGCAAGTGAATTGGATTTAAGTGAGGGAGGGCTGTGCAAAGTCACCAGCCTTGCTTTCTCCTCTTCACTGTTAGACTTGGGGTGGGAGGGATCTGGCTTGGGAAGTCAGACACAGTAAGGGATGGGATGGGAGGAAATCATCTCCCTGCTGCTGCCTTCTTTTGTAGTTATAGGATGAGAAGAAAAAGGGGAAGAGGCTTTAGAGGGCTGAGGGTGGGGCTGGCATGGATAGCCAAGGAAAGGCATCTAATTCAATTTCCCCTGTTCTTCTCATAACCCCCCAGCTCCAGTCTGCCACTGCCCAGGATCTGACTGGAGCCCTGCCATGTGCTCCCTGTGGCCTGTGCCCATCTCATCCCCATTCTCTTAGGCCTGGGAGCACCCTTAAGGCCAAGTCGGGGGAATCAGTGGCCCCAGCCAAGAAAATGCGGGGCCTCATCTCCAAAGGGAAGCACCTCCTTCGAAAGCTGGGCTCGGGGAAGAAGGAGTGAACACAGTAGTTTATGCCTGCCAGACAGAACTGAGGCTGACCAGCCCCTGTCTCCCACCCCTGCCATGTCTCTCTCAAATGATCCTAAAAGAGCCCCCTAAGCTAACAAGAGACTTTTGCCCAGGGTCTATGGGGTGGGACCCATGGTGGAGCTGGGCTCTTGGTTCTTGAACTGCTTTCTGGACATCACTGGTGCTGTGATACCTGGATGGAAATCAACTACAGTTATCTCCACCCTCCACCACCCCAAGATCTGGGATTCTAGGTGTTGGTATGTGTTTGGGGTGGGGCTGCAGCAGAAGGAACAGCTCTCTAGGCTTCCTGTTAACATCCTTATGTTCCCCCAGGTCCCATGTCTTCCCTCCCTTAAGGGAAAAAAGTTTGCACTGAAGTCTCCCAATGTCCCCTCCCTCCCCCCCAACCCCCATGGCCCTCTCAGAGGGTGTGTGGAATCCCTGTAAATATGTACATAAGCAGCCGTGCCTCTGTAGCAACACTCCAGCTCCATCTTGCTTCCTCCTCCCCTCCCAAAACCCCGAAAAGGAGAAAGGTCATGCCAAAGCGTGTCCCCCACCTCAATCCCCTAAACAGGGCCACCTCAGCCCCCCCCACCTGCCAGTCTCCCCATCCCCCAACAGGCCGAGGGTTGGGGGTTAGAGGTCAGGGGTTGAGTTTGCCTTATTTGCATCATTAGATTTGATTTCTCTTCTGCAGCATCTCTAACCTCTCTAGGTGGGAGTTTGGGCATGGGGGTGGGGCAAGGACAGAATTCTGAACTTATGTTCATACATGCCATGTTTAGAACGCAACAGGGGTCCCATCCCCTCCATCCCTCCAACCCCATAGTGTTCCATCCCTTCCTCCATTTGACCCCAGACAGCCAGGTGGGCCTCTCTGCATGCTTCCTGACATGTGTTGGAAGGTTGGTTGACTGATCACCTCCATGCCCGCCTCCACTACCCCATGCTGTCCCTGGGTCACAGTAAGGGGTGAGTGTGTGTGTATGAAATTGTTTAAAAAAACATTTTATTATAATAAAGTCTATTTTCACAAAACCTTTACCAGATTCAGCTTGGGGAGGGGGAATGGAGAGTTTATTCTCTTCCAGTTGGTTAATTTCTCCTGAAGTTCTTCTCTGGAATCACATGGAAGCAGTCTTGGGTTCTTGACAGCTGTGTGGGAGAGCATAAGCCCTAGCTGGTCCTCCCAAGCTGCAAAGGCCTAGACTATAGCCCTCAGATAGATGGTGGGCTCACTACCAGAGGGCTAACTGTAAAGTTTTGAGAGGTCCTCATCACCAGGTTGGCTGTAGGACAATAAATTTTTCAGCCATGGCTACTCTTTTTTAAAAAAATAGAGTTATTGATATTATTTGATTTCATATTGCCTAGAATTCCCCCTGTATTCCTCTGTCACCATGACCCTTGAAGAGATCTGCTGAATGGCAATATCAGTTGGAGGGATTCCTTGCTCTGACAAAATCGAATCCTTGAAGTATTTAAGTTGGATCAGGGAGTTCAAACTCCAGGCATCTAGACTCTAAACCTTGTTGTACCTTGTTTTACCTGGGTCTGCCTGAAAGAACTGGATCATTTCCCCTGGAACTCTGGAAGGGAATGAATGGAAAGTTTTCACTTGGGTCCTTTCTCTTAGGTAAGCTCCGTCCCACCCTCCATTCAGTTCCATGACTTGTCTTAAGGGTGAGGGTGGCATTCCAGCCAGGCTGTAAAGAGCTAGAGAAGTGACTGGGAAAGATACTTAAGGGGTCAAGTGGGTCCCTGGATGAGGAGACAAGATGGCTTGATGGGATCCTTGGGTTCACAGGGCTTAGAGATGGAAGAAACTTAGGATTCTTTATGTGATCCTTGGGAATCTGGGGACAGGTTTCATGGGGTCACTGTGTGGGGGGAATTACATCTTAATTTTCACTAACCTTTAAAATTTAGCGTTTCCTTAAATTATTTTTTTCCCTTAAATTATTTAAAAATATTCTGGTGAATCCATAGGTTTTGCCAAGGAAGTCCATGACACACACAAAAAATAAGAACCCCAAATTAGTCCAACCACTTCATTTTCACTTTTAAATTTATTTTAAAAATTCTCTTTGATACCTTTTGTTTTTACATCATCATTTCTTCCCCTCCCCGCCATTTCCAAATATATCCCTTCCCAGCAAGCTATCTTTTATATCAAAGAATAAAAAAGAAAGAGAAGAAAAAGAAGCAGTTCAGCAAAGCTTAACCAACACATCAAAGAATCTGACAGTGCATGCAATGTTCTACATCCATAGTTTCCACCAGCTCTGCAAATAAGGGAGGGTAGTACATTTTTTGTATCTGTTCTGTTGGGCCAGACTTGGTCCTTAGAATTGCACAATGCTCTGTTACATGTTTTTATTGATGATGATGATGATGACATTGCTTTTCCCCATTTTCATTACTGTAGTAATTTTCCAAACCGTTATTTTGCGGATGAGGAAACTGAGACACATATAAGTGAAGTGACTTGCTTAGGGTAACCATAGAAATTAGCAGAGTCTTCAGGTCTTCTAACACCTTATATCCCGTTCTTTCTACAAAGTCTGGCAAGGTAACTTGAGGCAGGGTGAGAGGTATTGAGAAAGCAGGGAGAAGAAAAGAGAGGAGAGGAAGATAAGTACAGCTGGAGCCTCAATCTCCCTTTTTGTTCCTTTCCTCCACAGCATTGGTGGGCTTAGTTGGAACTCCTGCTCCCCCATCCTCCAGGGGCATGAAGTCCCCTCAGGAAGCTGTGTGTAATCCTAACTGAACTCTTCTCCAGTGTGGATTTAGAAAGACTCAATGTGTTGAAATCACCTCTAGTGAAGGCTGTTAGCCCAAGAGGCAGATGGGCTGGCATCTGTGAGGGAGGAGGAAGGAAGAGGACTGGGTCAGCATGGTGCTGGCTAATCTCAGATCCCTCAACTGATGCAGGTCTGCTCTGGTGAAAATGACTCTAGAAATTCCAGTATTGTCATCCAGAAGTCATACTGATGTGGGGAGTTAACTCTTCAGTAGAAGGAAACCTGGCTCAGGAGTCAGAGGACTTGGGTTCAAATCCCACGTTTGACTCACCACCTGTGTAACTTGGGGTAGGTCACTCAAGCTCCCTGAGACTCAGTTTCCTCACTGGTAAAATGAGAATTGGACTATATGACCTCTGAAGTGCCTTCCACCTCCAAATCTAAGATTCTATTACTGGGAAAGTACATGTGGGAGAAAGGAATGCAATGAAAGAGTTAATAATTCTGAGCCTTAGCCTTCATAGACCTGAGTCAGTTTTCCATTCTTTTTGTTTTGTTTTTTTTTGGAGTATGAGGCTCTCTCTGTTTCAACCAGGTTGGCAGTGCAGTAGCTACCCACAGCCCTTATCTCACTGCATTTTTTTTTTGCAAGGCAGTTGAGGTTAAATGACTTGCCCAGGGTCACACAGCTAGCAAGGTCAAGTGTCTGGTCTGAGACCAGATTTGAACTCAGGTCCTCCTGACTCCAGGGCAAGTGCTCTATTCACTGTACCACCTAACTGCCCCTGCCGTAATCTCACTGATGATTAATTTGACCTGCTCATTTCCTACCTGAGCCCGTTTACTCCTCTAGGAGCCTGGTGGACTCCTGCCCTCTGTATCGGGGCTCACCATATCTGTGACAGTTTAGTGCAGATACCTGATTTCCTTTAGCCTGATTGCAGCTTATGAGCTCAGCTAGTCCACTAACCTCAGCCTCCCCGAGTAGTGTTGGTTGGTGTGTACAACCATGCCTGGATTCATTATTTTCTAAACTTTATTGCTTCTAATGGCTAATGATCTGTTCCTTGCTCTCCTGCTGTCATCACTAGATAAACTTTGTCCTCTCCCTGTTGCCCATTATCCCCTGCACCGAAACCCTCTAAAGAGAAGGGTTGAAATTGGAAATTGCAGAACTCTGGGTTCTGGAAGTCTATTCCCAGTGGAGAGCAGGTTCTACTAAGCTAGAAAAGTCTGGTACTGACAACAGACTGCAGTTGCCATCCAAGGAATGCCTGACTAAATGCAGCTCGGCAACTTCCAAGAATGTGAGGAACATTTCCTGGTTAATGGCCTTTACATATATATGGAGCTCGGTGTTAAGTTCTAATTACAATTTTCAGAGGGGGAAGATGAGGGAATTCTCTCTGCATCCTTCCATGAGCTTTCCCAAGACCGGAAAGATGGCCTTTAAGCTATTAATATTTTGGTCATGTAACCTGTGAAACAGTTTATTTTTGGACCAGGCCTGCGATTCCATTGACTTATGGAGGTAGCTAGTTGACTCACCAGATAAAATGTGGACTTGGGATCAGAAAGATCTGAGTTTCAATCCTACTCCAGACACTTAGTAGCTACCATGTTTTCGCCACCACATAATCATCACCTCTTATTTTTTCAGTCCAAAAATTGATTTATAACATTTCGTTGCTTCATTGTTGCATGATATAATTCTATTCATCATGCTGCTTAAAAGGTAAACAGAGCAGCAATGTATTCACCAGTGGCGCATAGATATGCATTTATGTCTTGCGCATTGTGAGCTGAGAGCCTAGAATTCTCAGCACACGTGCATTGTCAGTATATTTCTTAAACTGACTTGCATGGTTTGTTTAGAGCACTACAGTACTAACCATGTTGTCACTCAACCCAATGAAGAATGGAAGGTGCAAGGCGAACAAGGTATAAGCCAGCAAAGCTGCCATGAGTAAGTCACACGATATGTCTAGACTTGAATCTTCCTGTGCTAGAACAAGCATTATCTGTAGTCAGGATAAACTAGAAGCCTTTCCAATAAGGTCAGAGGTGAAGCAAAGATGTCCATTATCACCGTTATTATTCAATATTGTCCTAGAAATGGTAGCTATGGCAATAAGACAAGAAAAATAAACGGAAGGAATAGGTTTAGGCGATGAGGAAACAAAACTCACTTTTTGCAGGTGATGGAATGGTTCACTTAGAAAACCCTAGGGAGTTAACTAAAACACTCATTGAGACAATGAACAACTTCAGCAAAGTTGCAGGATGTAAAATAAACCGACACAAATCACCAACATTTCTATATATTACCAACAAAACCCATCAGGAAGAGAAAGAGAGAAATTCCATTTAAAATAACTGTGGACAATAAAAAACACTTGGGATTTTACCTGCCAAGACATGCACAAGAAGAACGTGGGCACAATTACAAATGCTCTTCAAACAAATACAGATCTAAAAAAAATGGGAGAAATATTAATTGCTCTTGGGTAGGCCAAGTCAATGTGATGAAAAATGGCACCATGATCTAAATTAATTCACTTATTCATTGCCCTACCAATAAAACTACCAAAGAACTCTTTCATAGAACTAGAATAAATAATTAAAAAATTCATCTGGAGGAAAAATAGGTCAAGAATATCAAGGAAATCAATGAAAAAAAATGTGAAGGAAAGGGGTCTAGCAGTACCAGATCTCAAACTATATACAAAGCTAAAATCATCAAAACAATTTGGCACTTGATAAGAAATAGAGTGGATGATCAATGGTACCAATTAAATACACAATTTACAGAAGCAAATGAACACATAACCTAGTGTGCAATAAGACCAAGGATCTCAACTATTAGGATAAGGACTTACTATTTGACAGAAACTGCTGGGAAAACTGGAAAGCAGTCTGGCAGAAACTAGGCATGGACTAACATCTCATGCTGTATAAGATAAGATCAAAATGGGTACATGATTTAGGTGTTATGGAGGATATCATAAGCAAAATAATGAAGCATGGAAGATTGCTACTTCTTCATCTCTAAAATATTTAAAAGGGGGGGGCGGAGCCAAGATGGCAGGGTGAAAGCAGTGACTTGCTTGAGCTCTCCTCCAAACCCCTCCAAATACTCATAAAAAATGGCTCTAAACAAATTCTGAAGCAGCAGAACCCACAAAAAGACAGAGTGAAACAAATTTCCAGCCCAAGACAACCTGGATGATTGATCAGAAAGGTGTATCGTGCCTTCAGAGGACTGAATCTTGGGCAGCTGTGGAGGTTTCCAGACTCCTCAATCCACC